TAATAAATTTTTGTTACTAGCTTGAATGTATGAAACATTGACGCCAACACTGATATAACATTTACGAGTATTATTCTGTTTCATTATAATTTTTCGATACTTTAAGGTCCGAAGATTTTTTAAACACAAAATGTGTTAACAAAGATGAAACAATTAATACCAATTATTGAACACCCCGTTTTATATCTTAATAATATTGAGTATATTTTGTTTTTCTATTTTTCAATGTTATTTCTCTTAATAATTGCATTTCTATAATGAATTTCTGTTAAGAGTATAAAATCTGTCTTTGTATATTTCTTCTGTACATACGTATATATTGAAGCTGAAGTTATACTACAGCCATGTTTGTGCTTATTTCTAAAAAGTTTTACAAATATATTAATATTAGATTCGATTAAAAGCAAGTAACGTTTTTGGTACTAAATTTATCTGATGAATGTTTGTCATCGCTGTCTCCAAGATCCATACCAAGGGGTACTGAATTCCAAATAGTTTTATCATTTCTGTCATCTTCCTCACTTAAAATATTGCACATCATCCGATCATCGTAGAGGGAGAATCTAGCAGTTGATTGTCCACGGCCACGAACTTTTCTTACAGAAGGTGGCAAATCTCCTGGTGTCTTTATTCTCATGTGAGGATCTTTCAATATATTCACATTAGACCCAACATTAAAAACCTCGTTGAACTTGTCAATACTTTCCTGTCTACTGATATTCTTACTTTTCTCATTTTTTAAATTTACAAGAGGCAAGGTGGATGGTCTAGAATTTGCATTACTTTCATTATCAAAGTTCTGTTTTCCAATTTGTATAGCATTCTTATCGTTCTTATCCAACGAAGGGGGAAAAGTGGGTGTCTTATTGATAATACCGTTTACATACTTTCCTCCTGGAGATATCGTTACGTTTGTTTCTACAGTTTTGATCTGCACGTTCTGTTTTGTTAGTAAATTAGATTTAGAATCTTCTCGATCTATTTGATACTTATTGTATGGATACATTTTTTTATTAACCAAAAGTTTCTTAAAGTTAGACCATCCAAACAACTTTTTCCTAGGACTTTCTTGGGGACAGATTTCATGCATATTCGTTTGCTTTCGTTTACCATACGATGATGTACCATCGTCCGAAATAACATTTTGAACATACGGTATGGGTGTTGCCGGTCTTAATTGCGTTAATTGCGTTGTATGCTGACTCAAATAATCATGAGAAACGAGTCCTTGCGCTTCTGATACAATTCTGTATTGATCGTTACATGCATGTTTCATAGACTTGTCAACAAGTACATTACCATTACATCCTAGATCTTCAAACGAATCTGACTGTAACATTAGATTTCTTTCCATACAGGGATTTCGACCTTGATAAGGTTGAAGTGTTTGAGTATGGTTATATATTGCTACTTCGTTTGAATTTTTAACTAAAATATAAAGGTACACTATATGTTAATTGAAACTTAATTGATATCCGAATCAATAACGCAACGACAATAATAAAGTACTTACAACTATGCTCGTGGACAATACTTTCAGAAGGTGATAGTGTTACCAAATTTTCAACAAAACCACCTTCGTTGCTTGAAGTGTCCTGCACCGTGTGCGATGTTTGTTGAACGACGTGAACATTATCATGATGGGAAGATTCACTGTAAAGGCTGTTTGTAGTTGAAGGCACTAAAGTGCAATGGGAATTTACCATTGGACTTCCATCGGCAAAGTGCACAGTCACTAAAAATTTATAAATTATTTTCCTTCGAGATTGTAAAAGTAGGTCGTCGTGTTATAATTATACCAAGATATTTACCACGATGGGACTGTAACTCTGAAAGACGTTCTTCTATACATAAAGCAGTTAATCGAGCCTCTGCATCCGCGTCCCAACAGTCTTCCATAGTTTCTTTAATCAACCGTACCCCAGGTTTGTCTACTAAATTACCCTCTAATAACGGCCTTGCTTTATTACGAGAAACTAACACTTGCATCTGTTCAAAAGTGGGATGAAGACCGATTTCTTTCTCATATGGTTGTCTATATGGAGGTACTTCCGATCCTGGCATATAAATATCTGAACATCTTGAAACCAGTTCCCATAATACTAAACCCATCGCATAAACATCTATTTGTTTTAAAGAACTTTCACAATCTCGTAAATTCACAGCACCCTCTAATATTTCCGGTGCCATGTATCTTAAAGTGCCGACCTAAATTAATTAGTAAAATAATGCTGTAAATTATTTTGAAAATTAAACAATTTATACGATTGAATTATTGCCTTACATCATTAATTGATTTTAATTCAGCATGTTGCTCTTCGCCATTCGAGTAGTATTTAGAACCGGAAATTTGAACTGCCAATCCTAAATCACATATGCAGCAAGTACCATCAGCTTTGATTAATATATTTCTGGAATTGATATCTCTGTGTGCAATGCATGGCTTGAATTTATCTGGAAAATCCACGTATTCATTACAAAACTTTTTCAAAATATTCTATATTTTAAAATTTATTTTACTTACCACCTTTGTGTATGTCAGTATGTAAGTAAGCAAGTCCTTTTACCATAGACAGACCCATCTTGCAAAACGTATTCCAATCAATTATATGAGTTCTTAAGAAATCTGTTAAAGTACCACCTGGTGCAAAGCTAAGTACCAACAGGTATTCAACACTGCCTTCCATACTAACCCTCTCGTCTACACCTAAAGAATTATGATTGTCATTTAGTATTATATTTTAATAAATCATAAAACTAATTAGCATATTAATTATTATTAATATTAACCATAGTAACTTAATAGGGATGGGTGTTCCATAAAAGGAAGACAATAAGTATCTCGTTCATTTTGAAAATAATTACGATAATGAGAAGGAAATATTTTTACAGCAACATCTTGATCTCCCATACTACCTTGCCATACAGATCCATAACGTCCTTGTCCTGAAATATACAGGTATGGTAAAGAATTAAAAGTATTTACTTCTATTGTACATCCACAATGCAATCACTGAAGAACATACCTACAATTGCTGTAAGTTTCAAATGATCTACTGTATAAGTACCAGTTCTCAGGGCTGTACTATCGATAAACTGATCAGAATAGGGAAGTGGTTTCCCTAATCTTGCTAACATATTTGTATGGTATACACGATACACCATCAATACTACAATAGATATTACTAAAAACATGCATAGCAGAACACTTGTTATAATGAGGATCCATCTTCCAGAATCTGGTTGTTCCAAATATTCAGTTGCTGTAAAATTTTACATGCAAAATGTTATGAAACATTTGTATAATTAATATGAAATGTTTTTATATAACATTTATTGACTTTACTTGGTTGATTGTTTTCTGTAGAGGCAGAGCTCTGTAATTTGTTATCAGAATACAAAATATTGGTGCTATTAATATTAAGATTACAATAGTCTCCATGGCAACAACAGAACTTTGTGTTGTTTAATGCTTTAGTAGAGCGTTGGAAAGCAATACATTCTGAAGTTTCACATTTTTGTTCACCAGACTGTTTCCAACAACCTGTTAGACATTAAATATCGTAGCAATAAATACATAATAATTTATTAAGTAAAAAACAACATTAACATACCTTGAGATAAAATGATAATTTCTGTTCCATTTGCAGTCTTATCTTCTTGCCATAATGCATGACAGAAATTGGTACATTCTTCAAATTTAATATCATTATCCTTCTGTAAAAATATGATTATTTAATTCTTTCAATGATCAATTTATTTATAAATGGAAATTGTTTAATATACCATATGTTGAAAACTTACTATGGTATGAACCACATTACTGTTGTTGGGTATATTTTCAGGTACACTAAGTGCATTTTGTTTTAAAGGAAGATTTTCAATATTCTTCTTTCTGCTAGCACATATTCTAACAGCATTAATGGGTATTGAGTTTATCCCATATAGTAGTAAGATGAATGTAATTGATACAATGGCTTTCATTGTGCCCTAGCAGGCCTCTTGAACTCAAACACTTCAACAGAAGCGTTGGTCCTTAAGAAGTGGCATCTTTAGATATACTAACATATATTACTGCCATATGTGGGCTTTGTTCATCTGTTTATTATGCATAACACATATATATTTATAAAACATACATAATGATTTCTTATAAAACTGCTTAAATATTATCAAAGTACGCAATTAATACATATACATGATATAAGTACCAGTAAATACAGAGAAATAAATACAGGATAAAATTTACTAATATACTAACAGCCACCAATTATACTTTGTTAAACAAAATATGTTTTAAATAATGTAAATAACAATAAATTCAATAACTAGCTATATTCTTTATTGTCTATATATTTTTTGTACAAGATAAAAAACTATCTGAATTTAGACAGTACACAACAGCAATGACAACAAGATAGTTCCATATAATTACTGGAAAAAGCTGAGATCCTTTAAGTTATTATATACTGGAAATACGTATAAAGTACTTTAAACCATACTGCAAATAATGAAAAATCGTAAAATGAAAAGTTTCATAGAATATATTGTAAGCAAATTAAGAGAAACATACTCACACCTTGAGTAGTAAATTTGTCGAGTTTTGTGCTTGAAAATCTTGAAATAATAAATGTGACATCAATAGTAACATCGTACGTATTCGCAAAATAATATTAAGTTTCTTTAAAACAAATACCGTATCAACATTAAAATATCTGACAGACAAAACGATTCCACTCAATTGTAATTCCTTTACGTGTTCACAAAGCTATATAAAATAACAAACATTATCATGATCGGTATTGCCAACGTTATATGTTACGCAAATCACCTCGGAATCAACTTTTATTATATGTAAAAGGAATTCCTTTTTTCTGATTGCTAATTTAAAGATACAACGAAATTAATATTTATAGCGTACAAAATAATTTACGCGTGGGTGTTCATTACAATGAAAAGTAACTGTACGTTTTATTTTAGTATCAAAAGTTTTCAATCTGTATAATTTTAAGTTCATGAGCGTTCGTAACCAAAGACTCGTGAATTGGCGCGCAGCGTCTTATTCTGCGTGTTTTCGATATTGTATCGTGCAAATGGTGGCTTTGATGATGTTTTGTTCGATGTTTCTTAAAGATTAATCGGTCATACTATCAGTTGCGCATAGTAAGTAGGAAGATAGCGTTTGTCGCTTGATCCTGTACTTGTAAAAACTTGCCGCCGACATGGTAAAGCTTCAGAAGAAGTTTTTCGCGGGTGACAAAGTATTTGCTAAAGTTCGAGGTTATCCACCGTGGCCAGCCAAAGTAAGCACAGTTGGAAATTTGATAAATATTTTTATCAGTTCTGCAAGATTCGCAGTAACGATCGTTCATAATAACAACAATAATTTTTTACTTTCTTAAAATAAAAAATTGCATTGTAAGATGTTCTTCATTAATACCATTTTAGGTTGAAAAAGTGATTGATCCGAATTCGAAGAATTCAAAATACAGTGTTTATTTCTATGGCACAGGAGAAACGTGAGTAATATTAATCGATAAATTATAATTAAGTGAAAGGTTAATTTTAAATTTATCATAAATTTAAACATTTTATTGCAGTGCTGTATGTAAAGTGGAAGAACTGTATACGTACACAGAGAATAAAGCAAAATTTGGTAAACCCCTCAGAAGAAAGTATTTTCATGAAGGTTTGATACAATTAGAACAAGAGCTTAAAAATGATAGAAACAAAGCAGCAAATCTCAGTGATCTTAAAGGTAAACATAACGATCATTTACATGGTATTTCATACAAGTATATAAGCACACTAATTTTTAATGTTTATTATATTAATGAAGAAGCTGGTATTGTGGATGGAACAAGAGGAGGTGATACTGGGACGAATATACCAACAGTTAGTGCTGCAGACAGTGATCTCGAATCTGGATCCCTAGTTATCGATGAAGAAGAGAAAAAGAAATCTATGAAAAGGAAAACTCTTTCTTCTGCCAATAACCCTGTAATATACTTATGTTTCGATATATATGTACATGCATAAGATATACGTGTGTTTCTCTATGCAGATGTATAAGGTTTTATTAGGAGTTTTTGCTCACCGCAACAATATTGTTGAAGGAGGCAATTATTGATTCGAGCACTCCGATAGTAATTTAGGAATTGCCGACAGACATTTTTAGAGGCTAAATAGTTTGTGCGATTATTCCTTACAACTGCATAAGCATATCATTGTAAAACCGTAATTCATTGTAAAACCGTAATTCATTGTACATACATAAAATTAAAAGATTCCAAATAATTAGGATACACCTGAGGTAAAGAAACGGCGTGGAAAAGCAAAATCTTTATCCGCATCTACGAGCGACACTTCAAAACAGGACACTGGTGCTGACTCTCAAGGAGAGGATTCGCCAAAAGAAGTTGTTAGCCGTAGCGGACGGAAAATTAAACCTAAACGATTCGCTGATTTTTCAAGTTCAGAGGAAACAGATAACACTACAGAAAAGAATGGTATTACAAGTAATATTACTCGAACGAAAGGTTGTATTCAATTTCTACTGATTATGTATTTCATCCGTGTTGCAGAACATGGAAGGGGTCGCCCTAAAGTTAAGATCGAAGATACCAGTGACCAAGCAACACCTAGTGCGGTGCATAAAAAGAGAGCTGCTTTGGAAAGTGAGTATCGAGGGGTAATTTATGTATAGCTCGATCGCTTAGTATCGAACCGTTTTAGGTGCCTACTTTTTCCCGCTGCCAGAATCCGTAATTAAGCGATCAAGCTGTAGTTACAATTATATTGTTAGGATTTAAGTATGATTTATTTCACAGAAAAAAATAATTTAGGTGAAGGACCCATATTGGAAGGTACCGTAGTATCCAGTACCACGTCTTCAGACACGGGGGGACGATTCCTATTGGCATTAACATTCGCTGGTGAATATGTTGGAATTAAGTTGGATATGGATAAGCCAAAGTCTTTCGAGAGTGATAAAGCTCGAGAACAATGGGAATGGTCTACAGCTAGAAATGCTATGAAACTGAAAGCACAATTGGAAAGTGGTGAAATTTTACCAGAACAAGTAAAAGATTGTTTAGATTTCAATATACACGTTCCAGACGAGGAAAAGCGATTGTTAGCGAAAGATGGAGCTCTTCATCGCAAGACAAATAAATTAAGGTAATAGGAAAAGAATTCATTCGATAAGATTGTACATTTTTCATTATGAATATTAATTCCAGATGGCTTCGTATAGAATCGCAACTTTTACAGTTGGATGCTCAAATTAAGTCCAATCTTGGATTGGATCGAGCAAATCCGGATAAGTGTTTGCAAGCAATGGATGACATGTTATCGCTACCAATCGATCCTTTGATGTTGAAAAAACATCCACATATCGTGGAAACCGTCAAAAGGGTAGGAAGCATGGATTGAGTTATTACTATTTATTATTTATTGATCATGATATATTTTCTCTGTTAATATTTCCAGTTGCGACGATATATTGGTAATTTAGCTGATTGGAAATTAAACGAGGAGGAGGAGGTATTATTTTTTATTGTCATTGGCGTGTACATGTATGTAGCCTGCAATTACGTTTTTATATCTGTTTTTTAAAATTATGTTTGCAGACTATTTTCAAACAAAAAGCAGAACAAATTAGACAAAAGGCTGAGCATATATACAACAAATTCAAGGTAATTACATTTGATGAAGTAGGTGTGTGATGTAAATATAATTTGGTACATATACAGAAATCCATTTGTATAAAACTGTATCTTTTATATATTTTTCTTTTCACTGAACAAAACACAGGCTATGTTTACCATACCCGAAGGTCAATCGTTTTGGCAATCATTTTCGGACCAAGTGGTTCATTTCAAAGAATTGACGAAGGATATGCCCGAAGAAAAAGTATATTCTCTAATATCGGACCCTGCATGTCCAGGTAAATGGTGATTCATCACTGTAGCAGTCCGAGGTTTCGAATGCTATTTTTAATCGCAATAAATTCAGAAAACAAAGTTACAGATGCAGCCATATCAGAGGGTTCGCCTGCGGATGATAGCGGTAGTCAACCAGATACCGATGCAGCTATCGAAGCTAAATCAGAAGTGCCTACAAGGAGCGAGACTCCAAAAGAGTCAGAGGCCAAGTAACATAGTGATCTTTTGTATCTGACAATGTGAAAATCTTTATTTTCTTCTGTACTAATGTGGTACATTACACGATACGAGTGTCTTGAAGCTGAAGAAAACAAGAAAGAAAAACAACAATTCGCTTTTTCACACTTGGACAAATTCTGATGCTATATTTCATTCAATGGGACTTCTAATACATTTTCCTTGCAATACTTGTAACTAAGAAGCCCGTGATATAAACGATAAGTCTTCACTCTGTTGTCAGACATGTTAAGAAAGGAAAAAAAAATCAGTTAATTATAGAGCACTTAGAATTTAAACTAGATACCATAATTATTTCCTTTATTCTGTGTCACGTTTCTTTTACGGTCACCATTCCTTCCGCGTCGTTAGGCACCACCAAAACAGAAAGATAATTACGAACACCATATAAATGTCTTTGTTGTTTAACACAAAATTTGTCTACTTCATTAGTAACAGATACCAACTGTATATATTTATATATGTAAGTAAAAAAAAAAGGAAAACTGCAATACTCTATATACAAAGATCAAAGTTGCGATGTTGGGGTAGATACAATGAACGGCAAACTTTATTGTTTTGAAGCGGCGATTTCAAAACACTATTGGAATTTAATGGGCCGTTGTTTTGATTATAAATGTTTTCATCGCACTTTAAAGGCATAATTAGATTGAATTGATTCGAAAAGGAATTGTACAAATTAGAAATGTAACAAACTTGGAATGAATTTCGGCTAAAAAATATTATTAGATTTGTCGATAGATTTTTATATAATTTGAAGAGAGTATTGAGATTGGAAAACATGTCTTATATAAATCTGTTAGGAGGAAAAGTCTTGAAGGTGAAGAATTGTCGCAGCGTAACTTATAAATTACACTTTTATACGGGCAAAAAGAGTTAAAAACTAAACTGCATATTTATTTAGATTCCATATCTCTTCATGGTGTAAGGCACAATAATCGTCTACTTCTGTTAACCGATGCTTTTTTAAAGTCGGTCTACGCTTAAGTTAAGCACGACATGTACGACATAAACGATATAAATGTACTTTTGTAAACACTTGTCGCAGAAATAACACTGTAAAAGGTGATGTTGTTAATAAAAACAAATTGCAAATACTTTCTTTGTCCACTGACAAAGAAGCCCACTTGTGTTCTTTGTTTTCGTTTTGTTTCGTTTCGTTTCAACATGCCTTTGAAGTGCATTGAAAACAGTAAAATATATATAAATATTTTCTATTTTCTTTCTTTACTTCCTATAGATTTTTAGTTGATCAATGTCTTTTTAAGTAGTCACGATAAGACCTATCGTGCATCTTTCGAAGAAGAAGAAGAAGAAAAGTATATGGTTAAATAACGATTTATGTTAACTATAAGGTTACTTTTAAGTGTCAAGAAGTATAAATATTTTCAATAAAAAATTTACTACAGATTATTACAGAATCTTCAAAGCTTCCATCGCTTTATTTTAATATCAGGAATTTTTATTCTATTAGCATTGAACGTTCACACAGTGTTGCGTGCAAAGTCAACAGCGTTTCTGATACAAATTAATATATAATGATGTTTTCCATAAGCGATACAAAAGGAAATTGTTGCATTCACTTTTTGTATCGCTAAGGGTAGAGTTGGTATATAGTTTGTTAGAATGTCATTAGCTTAAAAGCTTCATAGTCTTTCAACTTGGTTGTCTCTTCATTTAGTATCTACCTAGAACTATGTGTCGTGCAATTGTATTCGCCTTATTTTTCTTCAAATTCATCGGTCTGGCGACATTCTCCGTGATCACTATTAATCGAAAGAAAAAGCATCAAAAGAGAACTGTACACTTCGTTTCGACCAAATTAGGAACATGTTACAATGTATCAATCGCCTGTTTTATCATCGCATCGAATTACTTCACAATACCGGTCGTTTATTATGAAGAATATCTGAACAAAACGATTGTAACTACAGCTATTGAAATTGCTGAAGGAGTATTAGGCAGTATAATTACATTCATAATTGTATTATGGTACTGCGTGAATCAATCGATCTTCGTAAAGTTTGGAAACAGTTTGGTCGAAATCCTGGAGGAATTATATCGGCTACGAGAACCGGTGAATCGGAAACAAATCGTTTTTATTTTACTATCTATCTATTTATTCGAATTAGTATTATTTCTTGCTATTGTAATTAGCGATTATGTAGCATTTCATAGCCACCCAATCTCGTGGATGGCGACTATTGTTCCAATGAGCGTTGTGAGCTGGGTCTTCATTCAATATTACTCCGTGCTGATCGTGTTGCACGTAATGTACGCGAATTTAAACAAAATTATCCAAAATATTTATGTGTATAGAACCGGGGACGCGAATTGTTTGTATCGGTGCCGTCGTGTGTTTATTAACAGTACCGGGATTCAGTCTCTTCTGAACCTTCGATGTATTCACGCTCTCCTCTGCGATATTTCCGCTCAAGTTTCGCAGTTTTACTCATTGCCCATTCTTCTGGGGACATTCCTCTTGTTCATCTCTTTATTATACAATGTGTATTACTTTATCGAACCGTTCATGGTCGATAATGTAATCATGGAAACGTCGATTGTACTAAATACTGTGGTTTGGATAATCTTTCTTCTGTATCCACTCGGATTGTTGACCACCAGAGTGACGAAACTGGAGAACGAGGTAAGAAGAATCGAAAAATTGCCAGCAAATTGTTTTCACGTTAGCTTATCTTTGAATTTATTTATTCGGTCAAACAGAAAAGCACGTTAAATACCGAATAAAGTAAATCTGATTTTAGGTAAATTTTGTTTCAGATCGGACGAACCGGGAGTATCGTGCACGCATTGCTGAATTATGCGATTGATAAAGAAGTGAGAACCGAGGTAAACGCCTTTGATTATTTATGTTTATACTAATTGATAATTTCGTAAAATTTCTTGTAGCTCAAACTGTTTTCGCTTCAGTTGCTGCATCGGCAGATCAAGTTCACGGCCATTGGATACTTCGTTCTAGACAACACGCTTTTTCAATCGGTGAGCTAATCAATGATCGTTGTTCTTGTTATTTTATTTCTTCTTTTTTTTGTTAGGTGCTTAGTACGACGACGACGTATTTGGTGATTCTAATTCAGTTTGAAATGGGTGGACCGGAACCGATCGACTGTAACTGCAACCACACGTGCAATTGTAATGAACATTAACATTTTAGCGAAGGAAGAATTTAACCGTGTGTTAAAAGAAAAAGGAATGAAAATTCGTCTATGTTAGAAACTGGTAAAGTGTACATACAGGGTGGTCGACAAAAGGTGGGAGATCCTTTTAGGAGCGATTCTAGGGATCAAAATAAGATGAAAATCAAGAATGACGAAATAGCGTTTGCGACTTTGTTTTCTAGTAATTATCGTTTAACAATTCGAGCAAAAAGCGCCTAAAACCGGCAACCTGCCTTGCGCCGACGACTGAACGTCAGGTCAGCAGGGGTCTGTACAGTCATAACCAAGAATCGAAGCCAAATGCCGCAGTACCGAGAAACAAAATAGCACGACGTAAATTTCTACTGTTCAATGATTCTTGGTTATGACTGTATCGACCCCTGCTGACCTGACATTCAGACGTCGGTGCCAGGCGGGTCACAGGTTTTAGGCGCTTTTTCCTCGAATTTTTAAACGGTAATTATTGCAAAACAAAGCCACAAACGCCATTTCGTCATTCTTGATTTTCGTCTTATTATGATCCCTAGAATCACCCCTAAAAAAATCTCCCACCTGTTGTCGAACACCCTGTATAAATATCCTATTTTCTTTCTTTACTTCCTATACGTTTTTACTTGATCAATGTCTCTTTAAGTAGTTATAATGTGATTACTTTTTAAGTGTTAAAAAGTATAAATATTTTGAAAAAAAAATTTACTACAGATTATTACAGAATCTTCAAAGCTTCCATCGCTTTATTTCAATACCAGGATTATTTTTCCATTAGCATTGAACGTTCACGCAGTGTTGCATGCAAAGTTAACAGCACGCGATATGATGCTTTCCATACGTGATGCAAAAGGAAGAAAAGAAATTATGGCATTCACTTTTTGTATCGTTAACAGTAGAGTTGGTATATAATTTGTTACACCAATGGCAACAAAATTAGTATGTCATCAGCTTAAAAGTTTCATAATCTCTCAACTTGTTTCTCTCTTCATGTAGTATCTACCTAAAAATATGTGTCGTGCAATTGTATTCGCCTTACTTTTCTTCAAATTCATCGGTCTAGCGACATTCTCCGTGATCACTATCAGTAGAAAGAAAAAGCTTCAAAAGAGAACTCTATTCGTTTCGAGCAAATTAGGAGCATGTTACAACGTATCAATCGCCTGTTTCATCGTCGCATCGAATTACTTCATAATATCAATCTTATATTACGAACATTACGTGAACGAAACGATTGTAGCTGCAGTTTTTGGAATTGTTCACGGAATATTAGGCACTGTAATTACATTCATAATTTTATTATGGTATTGCGTGAATCAATCGAGTTTCGTAAAGTTTGGAAACAGTTTGGTCGAAATCCTGGAGGAATTGAATCGGCTTCGAAAACCGGTGAATCGGAAACGAATCGTTTTTATTTTACTATCTATCTATTTATTCGAATTACTATTACTTCTTGCTCTTGTAATTACCGATTATGTAGCATATCATAGCCACCCAATCTCGTGGATGGCGACTATTGTTCCAATGGGTCTTGTGAGCTGGGTCTTCATTCAATATTACTCCGTGCTGATCGTGTTGCACGTAATGTACGCAAATTTAAACAAACTTATCCAAAATATTTACCTGTATAGAATCGGAGCCTCGAATTGTTTGCACCGGTACCGTCGTGTGTTTATTAACAGTACCGGGATTCAGTCTCTTCTGAACCTCCGATGCATTCACGCTCACCTCTGCGATATCTCCGTTCAAGTTTCGCAGCTTTACTCATTGCCCATTCTTCTGGGGACATTCCTCTTGTTCCTCTCTTTGTTATACAGTGTGTATTTCATTTTCGAACAGTTAATGGTCGATAATGTAATTACGGAAACGTCGATTGTACTAAATAACGTGATTTGGACAATCTTTCTTCTGTATCCGCTCGGATTGTTGACCACCAGAGTGACTAAACTGGAGACCGAGGTAAGAAGAATCGGGAAATTGCCAGGAAATTGTCTTCCAATGGGCTTATCTTTGAATTAGTTTATTCCATTACACAGAAAAGCTCGTTAAATACTGAATAAAGTAAATCTGACTTTATGTAAATTTTGTTTCAGATCGAACGAACCGGGGATATCGTGCACACATTGCTGAATTATGCGATCGATAGAGAAGCGAGAACCGAGGTAAACGTCTTTGATTATTTATCGTTATACTAATTGGTAATTTCGTAAAATTTCTTCCAGCTCAAACTGTTTTCGCTTCAGTTGCTGCATATGCAAATCAAGTTCACGGCCATTGGATATTTCGTTCTAGACAACACGCTTTTTCAATCGGTGAGCTAATCGTTGATTATCGTTCTTGTTATTTTATTTCTTCTTCTTTTTTTTTCTTAGGTGCTCAGTACCACGACGACGTATCTGGTGATTCTAATTCAGTTTCAAATGGGTGGACCGGAACCGATCGACTGTAATTGCAATTACACGTGCAATTGTAATAAACTTTAACATTTTAGCGAAGGAAAAATTTAACCGTCTGTTAAAAGGAAAAAGAATGAAAATTCGTCTATGTTAGAAAGTGGTAAAGTGTTGGTACATACATAGTTGGTGTTAGACAACAGGTGGGAGATTTTTTGAGGGTGATTCTCAAAATAAGAACAAAATCAAGAATGACGAAATAACGTTTACGGCTTTGTTTTCTAGTAATTAACGTTTAAAGGTTCGAGGAAAAAGCGCCTAACACCTGCAACCTACCTGGCACCGACGTCCGAACGTTAGTTCAGCAGGGGTTGGTACAGTCAAAACTAAGAATCAAAGCCGAATGCTGTAGCACCCAGGAACAGAACAGTACGAGGTAATTTTCTACTATTCAATGATTCTTGATTATGACTGCATTCACCCCTGCTGACCTGACGTTTAGTCGTCGGTGCTGGGCGGATTGCGGGTTTTAGGCGCTTTTAACTCGAATTGAAAAATGCTAATTACTGGAAAATAAAGTCACAAAACGCTATTTCGCCTTATTTTGATCACTAGAATCACCCATAGAAAGATCTCCCACCTGTTGTAGAACACCCTGTATAAATATTTTCTATTTTCTCTCTTTACTTTCTATACATTTTTAGTTGGTCAATGTCTTTTTAAGCAGTTACGATAAGATTTATCGTGCATCTTTCGAAGAAGAAGAAGAGAAGTGTCCAGTTGCATAACGATTTATGTTAACTATAAGGTTATTTTTTCAGTGTCAAGAAGTATAAATATTTTGAATAAAAAATTTACTACAAATTATTACAGAATCCTCAAAGCTTCCATCGCTTTATTTTAATATCAGGATTTTTTAATCGTTTAGCATTGAACGATCACGCAGTGCTGCGTGCAAAGTCAACAGCACGCGATGTGATGCTTTCCATATGTGATACAAAAGGAAGGATTGAAATTATTGCATTCATTTTTTGTATCGTTAACGGTAGAGTTGGCACATACTTTGTTACACGAATGGCAACGAAATTAGAATGTCATTAGCTTAAAAGCTTCATAGTCTTTCAACGTGGTTGTCTCTTCATTTAGTATCTACCTAGAAATATGTGTCGTGCAATTGTATTCGTTTTATTTTTCTTCAAATTCATCGGTCTGGCAACATTCTCTGTGATCAATATCAATCAAAAGAAAATGCATCAAAAGAGAACTCTATACTTCGTTTCTACCAAATTAGGAACATGTTACAACGTTTCAATCGCCTGTTTGATCATCGCATCGAATTACTTCACAATACCGGTTTTATATTACGAAGATTACGTGAGCGGAACGGTTGGAGCTACAGTTATTGGTATTGCTGTAGGAATATTAGGCAGTGTAATTACATTCATAATATTATTATGGTATTGTATGTATCAATCGATTTTCGTAAAGTTTGGAAACAGTTTGGTCGAAATCCTCGAGGAATTGTATCGGCTGCGAGAACCGGTGAATCGGAAACAAATCGTTTTCATTTTACTATCTATCTATTTATTCGAATTAGTAATAATTCTTGCTCTTGTAATTACCGATTATGTAGCATATCATAGCCACCCAATCTCGTGGATGGCGACTATTGTTCCAATGGGTTTTGTGAGCTGGGTCTTCATTCAATATTACTCCGTGCTGAGCGTGTTGCACGTAATGTACGCGAGCTTAAACAAAATTATTCAAAATATTCACGTGTATAGAACCGAAAATGCGAATTGTTTGCATCGGTGCCGTCGTGTGTTTATTAACAGTACACGGATTCAGAGGCACATTCTGAACCTTCGATGCATCCACGCTCACCTCTGCGATATTTCCGTTCAAGTTTCGCAATTTTACTCATTGCCCATTCTTCTGGGGACTTTTCTCCTGTTCTTCAGTTTATTATACGCTGCGTATCTCTTTTTCGTGCCGTTCATGGTCGATAATGTAATCATCGAAACGTGGATTGTATTAAATAACGTGGTTTATACAATCTTTCTTCTGTATCCGCTCGGATTGTTGACCACCAGAGTGACGAAACTGGAGAACGAGGTAAGTAGACTCGATAAATTGCCAGGAAATTGCTTTCACGTTAGCTTATCTTTGAATTCATTTATTCGGTCAAACAGAAAAGGACGTTAAATACTGATTAAATAAATCTGAATTTATGTAAATTTTGTTTCAGATTGAACGAACCGGAGATATCGTGCACGCATTGCTGAATTATGCGATCGGTAGAGAAGCGAGAACCGAGGTATACGTCTTTGATTATTTATCGTTATACTAACTGGTAATTTCGTAAAATTTCTTCTAGCTCAAACTGTTTTCGCTTCAGTTGCTGCATCGACAGATCAAGTTCACGGCCATTGGATACTTTGTTCTAGACAACACGCTTTTTCAATCGGTGAGCTAATCAGTGATCATTGTTCTTGTTATTTTATTTCTTCTTTTTTTTCTTAGGTGCTCAGTACGACGACTGCGTATCTGGTGATTCTAATTCAGTTTCAAGTGGGTGGACCGGAACCGATCGACTGTAATTGCAATCACACGTGCAATTGTAATAAACTTTAACACTTTAGCGAAGGAAAAATTTAACCGTCTATTAAACGAAAAAAGAATGAAAATTCGTCTATGTTAGAAAGTGGTAAAGTCTAGGTCCATACATAGAGCGTGTTCACCAACTGGTGGGAGATTTTTTAAGAGTTGATTCTGGGGATCAAAATAAGACGAAAATCAAGAATGACGAGATAATGTTTACGGCTTTGTTTTCTAGTAATTAACGTTTAAAGATTCGAGAAAAAGCGCCTAACACCTGCAACCTACCTGGCACCGACGTCCGAACGTTAAGTCAGCAGGGGTTGGTACAGTCAAATCCAAGAATCGAATCCGAATGCTGCAGCACCCAGAAACAGAATAGTACGAGGTAAGTTTCTACTATTCAATGATTCTTGGTTATGACTGCATTCATCCCTGCTGACCTGACGTTTAGTCGTCGGTGCTGGGCAGATTGCTGGTTTTAGGCGCTTTTAATTTGAATTGTTAAATGCTCATTACTGGAAAATAAAGTCACAAAACGCTATTCCGCCTTATTTTGATCACTAGAATCACCCATAGAAAGATCTCCCACCTGTTGTCGAACACCCTGTATAAATATTTTCTATTTTCTTTCCTTACTTCCTATACATTTTTAGTTGGTCAATGTCTTTTTAAGCAGTTGCGATAAGATATACCGTGCATCTCTCTCTCGAAGAAGAGAAGTGTACAGTTGCATAACGATTTATGTTAACTATAAGGTTATTTTTTAAGTGTCACAAATTATAAATATTTTGAACAAAAAATTTACTACAGATTATTACAGAATCCTCGAAGCTTCCATTGCTTTATTTCAATACCGGGATTTTTTAATCGATTAGCATTGAACGATCACGCAGTGCTGCGTGCAAAGTCAACAGCACGCGATGTGATGCTTTCCATACGTGATACAAAAGGAAGGATTGAAATTGTTGCATTCACTTTTTGTATCGTTAACGGTAGAGTTGGTACATACTTTGTTACACGAATGGCAACGAAATTCGAATGTCATCAGCTTAAAAGTTTGATAATCTCTTAACTTGCCTCTTTCGATTTAGTATCTACCTAGAAATATGTGTCGTGCAATTGTATTCGTTTTATTTTTCTTCAAATTCATCGGTCTGGCGACATTCTCTGTGATCAATATCAGTCAAAAGAAGAAGCATCAAAAGAGAACTCTATATTTCGTTTCGACGAAATTAGGAACATGTTACAACGTATTAATCGCCTGTTTGATCATCGCATCGAATTACTTCACAATACCGGTTTTATATTACGAAGATTACGTGAGCGGAACGATTGGAGCTACAGTTATTGGTATTGCTGTAGGAATATTAGGCAGTGTAATTACATTCATAATATTATTATGGTATTGTATGTATCAATCAATTTTCGTAAAGTTTGGAAACAGTTTGGTCGAAATCCTGGAGGAATTGTATCGGCTGCGAGAACCGGTGAATCGGAAACGAATCGTTTTTATTTTACTATGTATCTATTTATTCGAATTAGTAATAATTCTTGCTCTTCTAATTAGCGATTACATAGCATATCATAGCCACCCAATCTCGTGGATGGCGACTATTGTTCCAATGATTCTTGTGAGCTGGGTCTTCATTCAATATTACTCCGTGCTGATCGTGTTGCACGTAATGTACGCGAACTTAAATAAAATTATCCAAAATATTTACGTGTATAGAACCGAAAATGCGAATTGTTTGCATCGGTGCCGTCGTGTGTTTATTAACAGTACCGGGATTCAGTCTCTTCTGAACCTCCGATGCATTCACGCTCTCCTCTGCGATATTTCCGCTCAAGTTTCGCAGTTTTACTCATTGCCCATTCTTCTTGGGACTTCCCTCTTGTTCTTCAATTTATTATACGATCTGTATGTCTTGTTTGCACCGTTCATGGTCGATAATGTAATCATGGATACGCCGATTGTACTAAATAACGTGGTTTGGGTAATCTTTACTCTGTATCCGCTCGGATTGTTGACCACCAGAGTGACGAAACTGGAGAACGAGGTAAGAAGAATCGGAAAATCGCCAAGAACTTGTTTTCACGTTAGCTTATCTTTGAATTCATTTATTCGGTCAAACAGAAAAGGACGTTAAATACTGATTAAATAAATCTGATTTTAGGTAAATTTTGTTTCAGATTGGACGAACCGGGAGTATCGTGCATGCATTGCTGAATTATGCGATCGATAGAGAAGCGAGAACCGAGGTAAACGTCTTTGATTATTTATCGTTATAGTAAATGGTAATTTCATATAATTTCTTGTAGCTCAAATTGTTTTCGCTTCAGTTGCTGCATCGGCAGATCAAGTTCACGGCCATTGGATACTTTGTTCTAGACAACACGCTTTTTCAATCGGTGAGCTAATCAGTGATCATTGTTCTTGTTATTTTATTTCTTCTTTTTTTTTCTTAGGTGCTAAATACGACGACGACGTATTTGGTGATTCTAATTCAGTTTCAAATGGGTAGACCGGAACCGATCGACTGTAATTGCAATTACACGTGCAATTGTAATGAACATTAACATTTTAGCAAAGAAAAAATTTAATCGTGTGTTAAAAGAAAAAAGAATGAAAATTTGTCTATGTTAGAAAGTGTACGTACAGGGTGTCCCAGCCCAACTGTTATAAATCTCTTATTCTATAACTATGAAATTGCATGGTCAAATGGGGCCTATATTTGGCTGAAGTGAAAAATCTTTAGCATTATTAGTTTAGGAGTTATGATGGTCGAGTTCTGTTTTTTAAATGGAGCCATATACTTTTTTTCAGATCATGTGATAGTGCTTCTGAAGACGAATTCCTCGATTTTAATTAGTCTTCAAGATACTACGGTTACAAATTTTCCGGTTTTCAGTAGATATGTCTCGGTTTGAGTGGCAAGTCATAAAAGCGATCCTTTTGTTGCGGTAAGTGCCACAGCGGTTACTCTTTGGGTCTGCCGTTCCTAGCGTAGACCCACGCTGTGGCACTTACCGCAACAATAGGGCCGCTTTTATACAGGGTATTCGACAACAGGTGGGAAAAATTTTATGGGATGATGCTAGGGATCAAAATAAGACGAAAATCAAGAGTAACGAAATAGCGTTTGCGGCTTTGTTTTCCAGTGATAAAGGTTTAAAAATTCAGGTAATAAAAAGCGCCTGAAATCTGCAATCCGCCCAGCACCGCTGACAGAACATCAGGTCAGCAGGGGAAGGTACAGTCATAACCAAGAATCGTTGAATAGTAGAAACTTCCCTCGTGCTGTTCTGTTTCTCGGTACTGCTGCATTCGGCTTCGATTCTTGGTTATGACTATACTTACCCCTGTTGACCTGACGTTCAGTCGTCGGTGTTGGGCGGATTGCAGGTTTCAGGCGCTTTTTACTCGAATTTTTAAACGTTAATTACTGGAAAACAAAGCCGCAAACGCTATTCCGTTATTCTTGATTTTCGTCTTATTTTGATCCCTAGAATCACCCCTTAAAACTTTTCCCACCTGTTGTCGAACACTCTGTATATTAAAGTATATTGGAAGTAAGTTGACAAGGATGAAATGTAGCGGTATGATGATCAGTATCGTACTTCTTTTTTTCTTCTATCTTTTTAATCAGAATTTATCAGCAATTCCGTCAAAGAGGAATAATAATACATCGATTGCATGCATGGCAGCGAATTATATGATCGTGGCTGATTAACATTGTTGAGTTTCTTCGTTTCTTCGCACGTGTACGCGTACTATTTGTGATCACGGATGTTAAAGCGTCTAAAATACGAGTATTTTCTATTATCCTATAAAACATTACGTGGTCACTTTCTTATTTACGTGGATCGTCATGAAACTTATTCGTAACGCACACTTATTTTATGTCGCAATGAAAATCAAACGAATATGTTTAAAAAGTAAATTAATCCTCGAACGGCGTGTCTTTGCTCAGAGTTTCGATTCTTCATCAATCTTTCCGATACGTAAAATTTCCACCATTCGAGGGTTATCGTTCTACGTTTATGCATCTTCGCTAACAACCTCGTTCTTGTCGACGGTATTCCGGTTTGAAGAATTGATCAAACGCGAAGCTAGATCTGCTAAAATGATGAATTCCGATGTACTGTTTGGTAAAAAATCGCAATGAACGTGTCAGCGATTCTCGAAAAATATGCAGATCGAAAATATATACACTCTACCGGAATACCGTTCGCTTGCTGGCTTATCAACCCCCAATGGGTATTCCATCCCCCAAGGGTTTATTCACCACGTTCTTTTCTTTATCATTAATATACAATTCTACGACACGTTGACATTACACAATGACTCGTTTACTTGTTCATCGACGAACAAAACTCTGAACAATTGTTTCAACAGCTAATAACACGATAACGCGTCGTCTGAAAAATATCGTATCAAATATCCTCTGCTAATCTCCTCCTACCGATCTTTCTCCGTTAGTCTGCCTCGGTGAGGAAATCGGTGGAGAAGAAAAATAACAATTAGTTTGCGCAACGATCCTCAACTATCCAAATCGTTGCATTCTCTACCTGAAAGACTTGCAGTACGATAAAAATTCTGATCGTTCGTTTACTTTCAACGAACGAAAAAAGGACATCCTTCAAGGGACCGCGTTAAATATTTTTCTCTCGGTAAAAATGAAAAAGTCTTGACTAACCATCACGTTCAAATTTTCCCCCGTAAATTTCATTTTGATAAATTATCTTCTCTGTCGTTCTTACGTAAAAAAGATGCTGTATACAGGGTGATCGGCATTCTGTATACTTTATAATAAATATTGTCACTGCTGGCCGGTATTTGACGTATCAAAAGCTGTTTTCAACCCTTCTAAAGAAAGGAATAGAAAGCAATCGAGCTGACAAAGAAATGTCTACCTAATACGAGTATTCGTGAAAATATCAAACAACCCTCTCGATGCATTTCTCTATCCGTTTCAAAGTTCCTCGACAAAAAACATCCCTCGAAGGAAACGTCGAAAATATCGAAGGGGGTTTCATTGGCGTATCTATCATGGTCACAGACTCTATATTAGCTAAATTTAATAAATACACGTTAATATTGCACACTGACAACGGTAGACTTAAGGATTCGACAATTCGACGACGATCGAACCTTAAATCAATACAATCGTTCTCTATCTTAATTTCAACGGTGTGCGTTATTTTTATCGAATGAAAGGTTGTGTGTCGGTTTCACCTTGATATTCAACGGTAGTAGCACTCGTTAATTACACCGAACCGATTTCATTTACCGTGAAATAAAAAGTTAATTGTCCCTCGTGTATCTCCAGTTACAATCCGCACGCATCCCTTATCATTTATATCTTTAGAGATACTCTGTATTGATTAGTCGCAATGGAAAAAAAAAAAAAAATGGAAATTCTTGGAATTGTTTCACGACTCGAGGATTCGTTTCCTTTGAACCGTGTTGCTTTCGTTAGACGGAAGTCTCGGCCGAGGTAGTGCCGTTAATCGTTAACGGGCTGATGCTTTCCTTCGATCGTATCAAGTCTACCTGAAACGATCAAATCAAATATTTTATATACAGCGCAGGACGAATCCGCACCTCCGTGCCTCCGGGCAATAGAAAAATTTCATTTTTATTAAATACAGAAGTTATACAACGTCAGTAGAGATGTACTTGCTTGATTAACAATCGCTTCGAAGAATCGTTTCAACGGAATACAAACGTTTGAAACATTCTGACAGAATACGAGACTCGTGGCATAGCTTTGTGGAAAGATAAGATACAAACGCGATGGCAAATGTTTGTTCCAATTGAACTTAGTTACGGTGTACGAAACTATATCATACGTGAATTACCTTATCAAGATAGATAATATTGACTAGTGAGCGGAGAGGCACGCTCGAAAATGGAATACACATGCACATCGAGAAAATTAGAAAAGTGCAAACTAACATTTAGATGTTCAGGTTTTGGCGACGATCCATGCAAAAATGATCATTTCCTTCGTGTTGGAGATATACAGGGTGTTCGACAATAGGTGGGAGATTTTTTTAAGGAGTGATTCTAGGGATCGAAATAAGTAAAAAAGTAGAAAGCGCCTGAAACCCGCAACCTGCCCAGCACCGACGACTGAACGCCAGATCAGCAGGGGTCGGTACAGTCATAACCAAGAATCAATGAATAGTAGAAATTTATTTCAGTAAGGGGGCGATCCCCCCCTATATTGCCCAACGAAAATCAGCGGCCTTTATTCTCGGTACTGTGCCATTCGGCTTCGATTCTTGGTTATAACTGTACCGACCCCTGCTGACCTGACGTCAAGACGTCGGTGCTGGGCGGGTTGCAGATTTCAGGCGCTTTTGCTCGAATCTTTAAACGTTAATTACTTGAAAACAAAGCCGCAAATGCTATTTCGTCATTCTTGATTTTCGTCTTATTTTGACCCCTAGAATCACCCCTTAAAAAATCTCCCACCTGTTGTCGAACATTTCTTCTATACATAGATTACAACCGGGAGTTTGAGATAGCGTTAAGTAAACTGGAGTCGTTGTTGCGAGGACGACCGTATTGTAAGGGTTCCGTGCAGCCCCCTTTTATAATCTTACTCACAGTAGCGTACAGGGTTTATGTTGCATGCCCGTGTATTGGTGCTCTTGCTGTGTGACTTGGTTTGGTGATGGTGATGGTGGTTAGAATTTAGAGTCATTTACGTTTGTCACCTTAATAGAGATCCCACTGTCATCCTCGTCCTCTTCGGTCATCGTAGTTAGCCTCGTAGTCTCGTCAGCCATCAACGAGTTTTCCTTCTTCGAATGTTTCTTTTGTTTCCCAGTGCTGAATGAAAAATAATCAAATTTTGTTCATTCGATTCTAACGAGAAGAAAAGTGTATTCTAACACTTACCTGATCAATTTGGTCTGTTTCGGTTTCTCGTTGCCTTCGTTCACCTGCTGCCAAATGCCCGTCTTGTTCACCTCCTCGCTGATGTTGATACTCGTCATCGGAATCTTCATGATATTCCCGTTCGCCAAGGAAATCTGGATGTTCCCAGCTGGTCCGTACCCCATAGACTCGTTCTGTTCCTAAGGGACAAACCATATACGCTCAGTTTCACCGTCCACTGTATCAAGATTTTCAGAAAGACGAATCAAGCCATGCATCAAGTTCAGCAGATACTCTCACCACTACCGATTTGGATACTTAAGCTTTTCGATCGATTAAGGGAACGAAAAAAATAGAACAAGCAATTCCCTTTTTCCTTTAAATGGATCAGTCATGCGGATTATTCTATTTTTTTCGTGATTATGGAATTAAAGTGTCAGTGATACTGTTAGTAATCCATGCGATTATGGCTCGAAATCGCAACGAGTTCATCGCAGTGCACCAGAGATCGAAAGTTCAGCGTTTAATGATATGTGTATCTTTATTAGCGGGGGTTATAGAGACGCATAATTTGAGAAACTTTGATTCTTGAGAAACTATATGGACGTGCACTTGTGGCCACGTACCGATGTGAGCCGCAGCATTCGACGATCACTGGTAATCGTTTTCTCATCTGGCATCCTCATCAATTTTTCTGATCGTCCTCTACTTTCTAGGAATTTTTTTCTTTTTTTACGTTCTTTGTCTCTCTCAAAAACGGTACAGTCTGAGTTCTTTTTGGATCGGTTAACAGGTTAATAAGAATTTGATTCGATTTTTATTTCGTTCTTTATGCGAATAAAATTGTGTTCGGCTCGTGTACTGTGTCGATCGAGAGCTGCACAAGGAAGAGTTGGGATTACAGAGAGATTTGTGTGTGTTCTTAAATAACAATGTATTTTTCATACGTCGATGGTAGGCAATAAATTTAGTATTCGACGGTACATCGAAACGGTACATACATGTGTGTGTCGCGGGATTATAGACAAATTAATTGCCACTGTCATAATTTAGCACGGGCTGTGTTAATTGGAAAAGAAAATAATAATAATCTCTTTCTCTTAGGCCGAAGAAATTAACGACGTTGCGCTATTACGTTCTCGAAATTTATAATTGTATAAATGTACTCGATAGTTATGGTGTTTTGCTTTCCACCTATTGTCGATTTAATTGCGGTACAACAAACAAGCTTATCTATGAAAGTGTTTGAGATAATTTCGTATCCAAAACGCTATTATTCGACGACTATGTACAAGGTGATTCATAAATGACACACCATGGAAGAAGCAAAAAATGTTATTTAAAGATTACAAAATGAATTTATTTTCCAGTAATTAATGATTTATAATATTTTTCACCTCCTTCAGTGGCCACTTATGTCACCCTGTGTAACTTTTACATGTAATACTGGTCGGACCGAATGCCTACGGTTGGATTCGGGTCATTTGGCACTAAAAGACGAGAAAATCGTTTTCCGTGGCCGCGTAGGGAACATATTTATTGTACAACAAGATTCGATCAACTAAACAGGGTCTTTATTATTGCTAACATTTAACGGGCCACTTGCGTCGTTATTGCTTTGCACGAAAGAGATTCGAACAATGACGACGACGAGGATCATTTTCTAGGATACTCGTAGCAAAGGTGGAAAATGACTAAATTTTACTGTTGTCCTGGCATCTGAAATTTTACTGGGACACGTTTCTATTACAAATTTTCACTCTGGTATTAGGACGGTTGTCGTTCTTCGTATACAGAAAATTTTCTATATTTAGACTTAGCCAAAGAGAAGCGACGAATATAATATTGTCAAGTTATGTTTTACATGGTGTATCGTATTTCGAATCACAGTCAATCCAAGCCATGGTCAGCACTCGCATCGAATATCCATCCCCCTGAAGCAGATGCGTTCTCCTCCATCATTCTTTACTAATATTCAGTGTAAATTTTTATCTAGAAAATAGCGTTTCAATTTTTCTATTCTAAGAACTGACAGTTCACAACCATCGATTTGTTAAGCCGCGCTTCGTTGAATATCATCTATATTTATTTCAAGAATTTTCATTTGAACGATGATTTATTTATGATTCTTCAATGTCTTAGTAAAATTTCAGATGTCGAAAGAACCATAAACATCTGATCCGTGATATCCGAGACCGCGTTCACGCGTTGTCCGCGTTTCCGGTCATCCTGTCGCATCCGGTCACCGTGACCACGGGGCAGATGTTCGCCACGCGATCACTCGCCGTGTGTTATTTACGGCAAACGATGGCATTTAGTATTCGTCTGACGGTGCTAACCTCGCCGCTCTCCAATTGGCGAAGATCGTCGGCGTGCTTCTTGCTCGGCTCCGGCATCACGTCGTCCAGGATCTTCAGTTCTCGTTGAGTGAACAACAGGTCCAGGGACTTGCGTATCCCGATCATAACTACGAGCTAAGGAGAACAAATTAATTTAAAGATACTTCATCTAAAAAGTGTTCGACCACCCTGGTAGACTTACCATCAATGGGAACAAAATGGAGGTGCTGCTGAAAGACTTGATGATCCACAAAACAGCCAAACAGGTCAGTTGTATCGCGGTGAATACATGCACGCGTTTCAAGGGTACCTGCCGTAGGAACATGTAGTCCGGTTGATACTTGACGGGCATCAGCATGATAAGTATCCTGTCGAAGAACTGTAGACCCTTCAAAGAAGCGACACCCATGTAGAGAAAGACGCCAAAGAGCACAGGCATCGGTATGTGTTTCAACATCGGCGTCAACAGCACCGAACAACCGATCATCAAGAAGATCAATATATGCGTGACGCGTTGTTCCCGTACGCCAAGAAACTGCGGTTTCTCTCCCGGTGCAGCGCATTCGGATTCAAGCTTCAAAGAGTTCACGTGGTTTATAGAAAGCACCGTAGCTGCGACGAACCATGGCAGTCCCATTACAGAGCAAATTTCTATCAGTATCGCGAGAATGAACAGATCCAAGTGATAACCGCATCCTTTCTGAAAATCATATACCAGGTATTTTCTATAGGAAAGATTATCTTGAAGAGAATGGTAAGGTTACCTTCAGTTTGTTCTCTTTCCTGTTCACTATCACCGCTGTAATTTGCTGATCCATGAATATTAATATAGTGCCTAAGAGGGCGGGTAGACAGGCGACGATGGCGCTCCACCATGGATTGCTTTGGAACGGCCAGATCATCCATCCTCGATCGGCCAATGTTGGTTTAAATTCTACAGGTACCTCCAACTTCGGCGTCGGGATGTTGACGAAGTGATCGAGCGCGCTCATCGAGAAGATCGCGATTATTACCGCGAAATCGCTGACCACCTGTCTGACCTGTTTGAAATATAATTAATTAGTCGATCGGTAATCTTGGAAGAAAAGAAAAGCGAAATAAGTACCTTTGATGGGAAGAAGAGAGCGTTTTTGAAATCTTTCAGCTCGACGGATAGTAAGAATGTGCCCATAAAGAGTATAATTGACATGAGGAACACATCGGGTATGTAGTGCGGTTGGTTGCAACCATCTCCTATAAGCGTGCCGTTGTAGCTCTGAAAGGGTTCACGATATAATTAACCCTTTATCGAAAAGTTTTCAAAGTTTTAACGTAATCAAATCAACCTGGCATGTTTTTGGATCCAATGCCGTCCAATTGACGTTGTCGTAGCTAGACGGTAGACTGCCGTTCGGTGGCCTGCACCAGCATTCGAAACTGAACGGGTCGTTGGCATGAGTATTAATCGGGTATTTTTTACCTATCGATAATACGTTCTCGATAGCCTGAAACAAACGAGTTCGAAATTCTAAAAAGGATTCGTGAAAATGTTAACAGAAACTATGCAAAGTTTTTATATAAAGTCACGTTCAAATGTTTCAGTTAAGAATTAATAAATCCAAGTATATTCGATTGGTGGCATTTTTTCTTGTCAAGATCGAGGTCAATCGAAGTTTCCAAGTTTCTTCCCGCCCTCGAAGCCCGATGGGTTCGATCGGACACAGGTATATCGTGATTCGTGACCCAAATACCGTCGATTCCGCTGATGGAGCAATTCGCGAAGCACACACGGTTCTGTCCCATCCAATTAACTCGGTTTCGTACGAGAAGGACACGATTGCGTAATTAAACTGGCCGAAGTTGACTGAAACGGTGCTGCTTATCCAGAGGAATTTCTTTCGAAAGTTCGAGGAGGAACGTTACCTTATAAATGAAGATAAACGCGATGAGGGTGGCAAAGTTTTCTTCCGTGAATCGGGTTATGTAGCACACCAGGGCGCTGGCGTCGACGGCAACCAGAATTATCAGGATCAGGGTTATCCACGAGCCGATCCAGAAACGGAAGGACATGTAATTCCAGTCGGATTTTCTACCAAAACCATGATAATGAAATTTCTTATCTCCGGAAGGTCGTACATTGCGATAGAATACCCACTTGCAAAATTCGTAGACGATCGTTTCGAAGACCAAAACAGGTCCGGTGGAACCGAGAATGGTCAGAGGTTGTCCCGAGAAAAATCCATAACCGATACCGCATACGAAACCGGAAACCAGCGACTCCATGGCGGCCATGTTCTTGCCGGTAGCTTCGCCTAGCAAGCCACCGAAGGTGATGATAGGCGATAGACAGGCAAAGTAGAGGAAAATGAAAGAGGCCACGCATTGAATCGCCAAGGCGTCTTTAAAATCGGAGAAGTAAAACGGTGCCTTCCTCTTCACGTCGTTGACCAAACCACCGAACAGTCTTCCTGTTCTCGACAGTCCTGATTCTTCCCTCAGTTTCTGTTCGTCCGCTTCTTCGTCGTATTCCTCTTTTGGTTTCTCCTCTTTCGGCCGTTTTCTTACGTCCTAGAGAAACCAAATAGTAAATAGGATAGTAGTGGCGGCTTGTAGCTAAAATTAGTGGGAGTGCTGCTCTAAAAAATGTGTAGCCTTTGTTTTAAATAACGGGCACTGTGGGTGCGACAGTTCTCTCTCTCCTGCGCAGCTTAGTACGCAGCTTCCTTTACGCGCATGCGCATACGGTCAACCACCACGCCGCCATAGTGGGCCGGATTGGAGAAGTATGGGACATTTGTATATAACTCTTGGACTACAAAAGATATCGGAATGAAATTTGATTTAAAAAATATTAAAAAATAATCCGTATTAAATAAAATACAATGTAAATGGTACATTTTATGTTTACTACATTTTTATAGTAAAACATACTATTTTTTAAAAATCCAGTTTCAAGTGTTAGGATTTGTCTGCAATCTTTATTAAATTTCATTAATTTATTCATTTTCGAGGTCCACAGACATTTAGAAAACAATATAAATTCAATAAATATATTTTCGCAAAATGTCCCATACTTTTCCAATCCGGCCCACTGTGCGCCGCTGGAACTGTGAAGCGCACAGTCCCATACAAAGATTTTTCTATCTTTTTCATAAACTGGGGGATGGCTACTGACATTAAGCTTAAGGATTATATATTGTACAAGTATAAAGATTAAATGTATCAAATGTTATCGATAATATCAAGTGGAAATAGGGGGTGCTGTAGTTCCACAGTGCCTATACGCGTGCCGCGATTGGAGGATAGTTTACCTGCGAAGGAATCGCTGCGGGTGGTTCTATCCTGATGGCAGGGTCCCATTCCCCGGGAGGTAGAACCGTGACTGCGTCCAGGAACTCGTCGATTCCAGCAAGCAAGTGATTTCTATTCTTCGCTTTGTAAGCCACGTCGTGGAAAACTTCGTCGGACATCAACGTGGCCATCGCACGACCGATTTCGTGAAAACCCGAGATTCCTCCCTGTTCCGAAACAATTTTCGCGTAAAAGAAGATTGCTAGAACCGATGATCTAATTATCTGAAAATCTCTGAACGGTTTATTGCCTATAAATCGGCTGATTCGCAACGTTGAATAAACGAGAAACGGAAACGGAAAGTTGAGAAATTGGTAGAATCTCGCTGACGATAACGAAGCTTCTATTAGTTTCCAGTAGAAATTGCCACGAGTATCGGGCTCTCGAGAACAGTCAAAGCAATCAATGGACAATTGGTTCGTTAAAGCATTAATTACCAGAAAGAAGGATCGGCATTTTGATTCGAAGTGCTTGAAATTTATCGATGCTCTGCTTTAACACGAATACTACTTCGCGAAAGGAACTGAAGTCAAAGCTGGATAAATCTTACCGTAGGTCCCAACAGGACGAATATAAATCTCGTTGGCACTGGAACTTCCGTCAGATCTCCCATTATTCCCGCTTGGCTTAGCCGAATAAACGCTGACAGGGTTTTATCTAAAAAATCCACCTCTCCAACGAGAATATTGCTCGCTTCAGCCCCTGCCGGTATTTTCCTCATAAAGTGTATGTTAGCCTAACGAAGAAAATGCATCGAGATATACTTAAGAGGAATTTCGATAGTGTGTAAGTTTCAGGAAGACAAGAATCGAAGTTACCAACCCTGTGATTCGCGTCTCCGTTCTCCAAAGCTGACGAACTGTGGTTTCTGCTAATTGACACGCTGCTTGGACTTCGATCCATCCCATTGGTGCCTGGTTCTTGGCCTGAAAGAGATCTAGCTTACCGCCTACTGCGTCTTTCCAAGGTAAATTTGCGGATTGATATCGCGTGGGCATCGTAATCGAGAGGAACACACGTTTTTCCTCTCGATTACCGCGCTGCTATCCGAGATCGTTAAAAGTTGGATAGCACCGACCCACGTTCGTTCACGTGTCGAAAGCGTTTCCGAGTTGCTGGAATCCGATAACAGGAATCTCGCGGGACTGTTAGAGAAGTCTTACAACTTGATCCGTTTAACCCTTTCGCCGGATAACGTGGAGCACAGTCGTTTTTTTTCAGGAAACGATCTGTAGGACGTTTATTAATTTACGTTCGGAAAAGTTTATGGAGTTATTTCTCGATTGATATAATTGTATCGAAAGGGTACGTTTATCTCGTTTATCATTAAATTATTAAATGTCAAGAGTTGATCGGTCCTTCGGAAGAGCGGATTAGACTTTTCCGATTGATCGACCAGCACCAATGGACGACAGAAGCGATTTTGTTTTCCGTGTTTCTACTCGCTCCGGATAATCGTTGGTCGATACACGTTGTTATTTTCAGCGACCTCGTGTCAGGCTTCTGGAACGCGTTCGAAGCGTTTCAAGATTCGAGCAACTCGCGACACTCTCGTCGTTGAGATTTTCACGTTCGAGGAAACGTTACTTTCAACAGATTCGCTCGAGGATGAATTTTGAAGAAAAGCGAACGCGCGTTAAGACTTGGAAACTTATCTCCTTTTCACTCCCTCGAACGTTCCGAGTATTAGCGGATACGGGATAGTGCAAGCGTATCGCTGTTACAGGAAATCTATGTCGACGAGAGGATTTCTGGCGTGTTATACGTGTTAAGAGAAGAGAAGATAAGAGAAGCAAGCAGATAATAGCAGTTTACCGGGATTACCGGGTATGGCAAGGAAACGGCTACCGGCGTTCAGCACTGCCCCGCTGCCGTGGCTTGTTGCACCGGCGATCGCCGGAGCGGAATTCGATTCCTCCACTAAAAATGAGCATGAAACATACACCAGGAGGAGCCATTTATTTACACAGGATGGAGACCAAGTGGAGGGTAATCGCCCTAGCTCGAAAGTATACCAGTTTTCGTTCACTCCACCTGTGAGCGCAACGAGTTGCAATTCACAGAGTGGCGTACGAAATCTACCCAGTACCTTCGTTCGACGTTCTAACAAATTAGATCAAAGTGAGGAGAAAAGGGAAATTTGGATGCTGAAAAGACAGATGTTAGTCGATTATAAAAGTGTGCGACAGTCAGCGGTACAAGGTACGGTACGGTATCAAGTAATCAAAGTACACATTGAGTCACGTGCATATTATACAATTACAGCGTAAGATCATGCCTCGTGATTAGTACCGTAAAAAGGTTCTCCTACGCGTTCTCACGATCGTGCACTCGAATATTATTATTTAACGGGGTCATTTATTGACCTTCCAGATATTAGTCGTCATCGTTATTCCGAGAAAATGAAAATTTCATCCTATTAAAAATAATAAAATAGAATGAAATGTGATTCTTATATCGAATGCTGCTTTGAGCTCTCAGTAGTGATGGTCGATTATTGGTCGAACGCATCGATCTGGTAAGATTATATTTATTGAATAAAATGAATCGTTATTTCGTGCAATATTCAATTTTTAAACATCGAGACGTTTATAAAAGAATGAAAATAAATGAGGAGACGATTGAATTCGATAACACTTGAGATACGAGTCTGACTCGATAGTATTATATATACAAGACAGTGATAAAGATAAGAAGAGAATAAAAACAGAGGAAAATGTAAGATTTGTGCTTATTATTCAGTAAGATTTCGAGGAACAATAACCACCTGACGATCTAACCTTTTAGCTGAAACATCGCGAACCACGTTGTGAATCCTACCACGTGGGGTATGCCAAATTCGTCTGACAGAGAAACAAGAAACACGTGTCAATTTAATCATCTGTACTCTTATTATCACGCGAACTATTCAATTTTGAGTGCACGTCGATATAAATTTGTTATCTTAGAATTAGAATTAATTGATAAGGATTGTGTTAATGGCACTTGACGACTACGAGGAAAAACTTTACTGTATGTACAATATATAGAATTATGTTTTATCCACAATATTTCAACAGATGATACTAATCTGTTTGAAATACCCGTCTTATCTATTATCACGACTATTAAGCTTCTTCGAGAATTCCAGAGTCGTTACAAAAGTTTTTAATTGGTTATCATTTTGTAATCAGTTCGAGAAACACATGTTCTTTGGGCTTAAAATGTGATTCTTTTAATATCTGACAGTTTACAGAAACGTATCTTAAACTCTTACGATACATTTAACCCTAGAATACTACAGGGAGATACTGCGTTTCAAGATTTATTTTTCATTTGCAATTTAAAAATTTATGTAATTCAGAAAATTTATAAAGAAAATTAATTTTTATTCGCTTTTGTATCAGCTATTTATTTGCAATTTCCGTAAAGTGTGTCAATAGACTATGATATAGAAAAAAAGTTATTTACTATTTAATTAACACGTTGAACGTCACAGTGAAAATCGAAGGTATCGAAGCTGTAATTATTAAGAAGAGTAGTTAATTTTCAAATTTCAAATTTTAAGCTTTCCATTTGCCATTTTAAATTACAAGTAGCAATATTACTTAAAATAATGTTTTTCTATTGTTTTCTTTTAATTATTCAAGGATGTGTAATTTGCTGTGGTAATCACCGGTAACCCCGGTGGAGGGCCGGCCCTGAGATTTCGGAGCTCCGAAAAAGGGCCCCTTCACATATACGACATAAAAAAAGGTACCTCAAAATAAATTTATAAAATTAACATTAAAGCTTGTATAACTAATTTAGATTTGCATTTACATTCAAATAAACATTACTCTTTTTGCATTCTCAGACGCAAAATCGTCTTATGGGGGCCTAGGGCCCTGCCCCCGTGGTGTTCAACGCGTTAATAATGATTTCATTTGAATAAAACTACATTCAACCACGTAAACTTTAAACCCTACTTTTACTTAATGCTACTTGGAGTATACCGTTCCCCAGTATAGTGTTAATAGGATTATATACATACAGGTATAGTATTCTAGGATTAATTGACTGTCGGTGGTGGGGGTGTTATTACTGGGACAGAGATTTTTAGTGGGGCAAATGTTAGAAAGCTGCGGAAGCACCATAACCCAAAGATGATTTAGGCTGCTTAGCCGACTGGCCTAAAATTATACCTGGAACCAGTAGATAAGGCCCTTTTAGATCTTTCGCCTCTTTCGATAAAAGGGCGGTGTTCGAGTTTGGACAGCTACTGCTGCGCGCGACCGCGGGCGCGTACGCGTCAACGGCTTCGCGACGCTCCTGTAAATCTGACGTCAACAAGGCATGCAAACCACATGAACAGTCTTCATCTGAAAATGTCGAGCATTTCGCACGTGTTTAGTGTGATCGTGGTGACTGTGGGTCGCGGTGTGCCATCTTCCACCCTTTCAGTGCCTTCCGTTGAACTTTTGGCAAGTGGTAAGATAAATAAATAAAAAGAACTTAATAAAACATGGGGCAGTTGATAAAAATAAAATGGTACAATTTAAATGGAAAATTAAAAAACTAATAGGAGAAATAGAAGAAAAATAGAATAAGGAAAAGTGTGCTGGACAATTGAGGGGTTGTATTTTGCTCGATACGACCGTGTTCCTGACTCAGCTTCGAGTTGAGTTCGTGACCAAATATTTATATATAATATAATTTGATTATGTTTGGTAGACTTACTCTTTGAAGAGGAATGATTCCGCCCTATCTCAGCCAGCGATCTGATGATTGGTAGCCTGGACATGTTGTTGTCTTTGCGCCTCTCGTGTTGGTGTCGATGCCTCACTAGAAGAGCCTCCTTAACCTGCACCCAAGGAAACAATCCCCTTAAAATTCACTTAAGATTTTTCTTTAACGAATGCACTGGTTTATCGATTGAATCGATTGTTCAGGATGAGATTTGTGATAATTTCTAAACTACCTTCTCCCGTGATTCAATGGCTAACGAGCCCTTGTTGATCATATTGTCGAGAACCAAATCGGCAATTTGTTCGAGGCTGCTCGCCTCCATGTCTAGCATCACGGTGCCATTTAACAGCAGGCTCCTAAGTTCGAACAATGAGTGCAACGACAGAGTCGCTACGTGGGGTTTGCTCCATCTGTTTCCACCCTCCTCCACGTCTTCCTCGAATTTGATCCATCTAGAAAAGGTGTTGGGGGAAGGAAATACAATGATAAGTGAGAACTCGATATTGATCTCTAAGTGGTGCTATCAAGTTGTTTGCAAGCTAAGTGGATGGTAAAATTACCTGGCCGTTTCCTTCCATTCCATCTCGTCGCCATCCTTGACGAGCTCCTCCATCTCGGAGAAGAGAGGATGGGACTCGTGGGCATCGTCGCCGACTTCCTCGCCCAGGATGAACTGAACCCTTTGGGCTGGCGGTGTAACTGAAATCGCAGACGTTGATTTGTGAAAAGACGGACTCTTCGCTCTGTACTCCATCGCGAACAGGGTGAAACCTTAACGCGTTGAACCCCGCATAATGAAAATCCATTTTCCATCTTTCCTTCAGAATTCAACGAGTCAAGGATTCACGCGAGATCTCGATACGAAAGAACACAGAAAGAGAGGATTTGTGTGGTGAAACACCGAGATAAAAAACACTCGATCTCCTTCCTGGCCGCTTGTAAACCCTGTGTGTTTAGAAATCACAATTCAAAATTCGACTCCATTACGTGCTCGTGCATTTTCTAAATGTGTTTAGCGTGATTGGGATTATCTATCGCCAGCTGTTGAAGCATCAAAGAATGGCGGAGCATACACATATATCGTTAGATGCTTGGATACGAGAGAGTTCGAGAAACAAAAGGGGGATGAAACGTCGAGCCGTGAGGAGAGCTGTTCTCAGGAACGGCCAGATGGAATGAACATTGTGCGAATCTTGCGATGATCGATGACGCATGCACACGCCTAATGAAAAATATCGAGACAGATAAGGTATAGAGACGAGTTGCGTATCTGTTTGAAAAATTGCATCTGGAAATATACTCGTTCGAGACCATTCGTATGGTTAAACAAAAAGAATTAATCGTTCGCGATTTCTGTGAATCGAACGTTTCACGAGGAATTTTCAGGGAATAAATCCCGCGATCGATTGATGCATCGCGCTGCGTGAGATGCAACGATGCATTTTATGTAACGACGATAAACGATGTAATCAAACGTAGTCGTGTATTCAAGATTCTATAAATATTAAACTTGCTGAAACACGATCGTAGCAGAACGTTAAACAGAGATTGTCTCGAATTATATGTCCGCCGAACAAACTGCTATTAAGTAATTAAAAGTGTTACTTCAATTAACACATTTTATTTTTCATATTTTGCATATTCCGCGAAGCGTTTAAATGATTTGGCAAACATGTGAACATTAATAGGATCCGAAATAGTTTGTCCGACCTGTCTGTTGGAAAAAATAGTAATTACATCGGTTTCACGTTGAATTTCCCTAATTAGTATCACGTACGAATGGTCTCCGGTGTGTTTGGTTAAAAGTATAGAGAAAATTTCTGGTACGTAGATGGACTGGCTTACGTATCATCTCGCCGTCGGGATCGCAGATGCTAGATAGTCGACTCCTTCGAGTCACCAGCAATTGTCCTGAAACGGCAACGAGACAACAAACACCTCCTAAAGTGATCAATTTGTGTCAAAATACCCTAATTACTATAGCGAATTAGGAGAATAGCATCGATCGATGCATTTATAGAATTACAAGGATCGTTGAAATTTAAACAAACGTTCAATCGATAAAGTATCAATCATGCAGCCCGAGGCGATTCGGTTGATATTCTTAGAACTAAGGTAGAAATAAACACAATGACTGGCGTTAACATATATTAACGATACAAAAGCTTTCCATTCGCTACCTTGCGGTTTGAAATTCTCTTCTTTTTAGGGTCGCCGATCATTCCCATAGAACGTTTATCTCTACAGACGAAAGTAAAGAGGATATTTAAGGGAAACGAAGGGTGGGAAAGGCGGAAAACCCTTGGTGGAGCTCGATATCGGTCACCCTTCTGTACCCGGTGTTCTAGAAGTAGGGTGAACAGCCGGAGAAGTTGTGACAAGTGGTTGGCTGGCTGCCATGTATCGTTCGATAACGCTTCAAAGTACAAAACACCATAAAACGTTTCTATACTCTTGCGAAGAAATGAATATAACGAAAAGAATCAGCCAAGAAATGGATAATCGAATGATGATTTGTAGCGATCGTTCTGTTTGCAGATCGATAAGATAGAAGATCTGTCTCCAGTTGATTAATCGACAAAATTCACGAAACAAAGATAAACAATAGTCAAAATCACACTTTGAACGAGTGCTTCTTATTCAGAAAGGTCGTTCTTTATTTACTGACAATAGAGAACCTTTCCGTTTGATCAGCTGATCAATTAAAAGGAAAAAGATTGCTGTTTGCGACTTTCGAACTCGCTACCTTCTAATGAACGGAACATCAAGATGGGATCCACGCCCATCGTTTCGACGGGAAAACGAACTATTCGAGCAACAATTCGAGGAACGATCGATCGATTTCGCCGACAGAAGCAATCTCATCTCTCGTTGCCGACGAGATGGGTCGCTGGCCGGACGTTTCAACTTCTCCTTGTTTCCCTTTTCCTCGCTCGTCCCATGATCGATAAACGCCGCGAATAGAAACGAGAAAAATGTCGCTGTTGTAGGTCACGAGGCTCGAGTGGAGTTGCTGCTCCTCTGTACGAAAAATCTCAGTTAATCGGTCTCGCGTCGCCTCGAAGAGATCCGCTTAAACCGGCGCGGCGCGGCTGCAAGAAGGTACTCGAAACTCGAGGATTCCAACGAGCCACGCAATTCTCGGCTCGACGATCATCCGCCGTTTTTCTTCTCCATGGAAACTAGGAAATTTCTCTTTCGCGATTAAACGACGAACAACGATTCGGTTGACAGATTAAACGTCTGGACGATTCAGGGATTTTCGATCCCCGAAAAGGTCGAATAAAGAAGAGAAATCGTATTTGGTTGAAACTCACTCGGTCTATCGTTGTCGACATTTTCCTTGGCGGTGGTGTACGTTTGACGCTGGGAATGATGGTGCTTGTGGTGACGACGATGTCTCCTTTCTCCTGGCAGATGCACGCCCACGTACACCGTGTGCGCTCTGTGACCTGGAAGCAGATGAAAGAGGGTTAGCGTCACTGTCTCCGTCCATTCGATATTCCACTACTTCTCTATGATTATCGATAATAAAAATCCTCTCTCGCAGACGTGTAACAGAGAGAGAAAGAGGAGAAACCACGATCTTTTCCCAATATCATTTTATTAGCTTCCAAACTAAATTTATATCATTGGCTCGGAAGTAAAGTAAAGCGACGTAAAGTATGATTCGATTCGCTGGAAGAGTTCAAGATCAAGTCGGGACAGGTGACCTAGCGACACGGCTGAACGAAATAATGATTTTCGAAGCACCGTGCGTTCTGTTGAGCAAACAACGAAGCCAGATTCAGGAGTGTATACGGCTGACCTAGGCGAGGACAGCTATTATAGGGTAATCTCTGTCATCGAAGAAAGAAAGAAAGAAAAAGAAATGTCGATACCTTCGTAGTCTTTCTCGGTGTAAGACTGATGAGTGATCCGAACACCGGGATCTTTTGGAGCCTCGTCGTCACCTGTCCCACCTGTGTGGGCCACGCCACCTCCGCGTCCAACACCCGGCTGCATCCACGGTCTAGAAAAAAAAAAATTGAACGCACAGGTGAAACCACGAGTTATACAAGTATTTCAAGAAATCAGTATCTTGATATCACCGATATCTTCGGAAACCTGGACTGCTCTCAGTCACGTGTTTTCTTTATGAAATATATCTTAAGTCTCACTTTAGACGTTTATCGAGAAGCGGTTCCATGATTTCGTCGAATAATACGGCTGCGCTTTTCTCATCGACTTTAACGAAGCATCGACGGTGACTAAGTACGCTCGAGCGTAAAGTGTCCAATAAATGTAAATCGTTCCCCCAAAATTCCTTGCTGAAACGGAGACGTTTGGGAGAAAAAACGCCGCGTGGGATCGTGAAATAACTCGGTTCGTCCGTTCGCGATTACCGCGCGACGCGCACGCGATTTTATAATAATTAAACTTCCTCGCCGAAAGGAAGTGTGTACTTTGTTCGTGCCGCGGCGCGTGCACCAGTCTCCTTCTTTATTAAGCTTCTTTCTTTTACTTTCTATCACCGGGAATAATTAGAACAATTTAGTTGGTCTCTGTGTCTAATTGATCGTTTCCACGAAACAATAGGTCCAGGTGAAAATTCGCGACATCCGTTCGCGCAAAGAAGCGCTCATTGTTCCGCGATTCAACTACGCTAACCAGATCCACGGGAAAAACTGAAACGTTCGCTTCGTTCAATTCTAAGGCAGGTGATAATTCGTTTGAATAAAGATCGCGAAGCGGCACGCGATGCGTGCAATTCGCTCGACGTGTATAATCACACGAACGATTATTACGGCAAACCAGATTCGCTCTGCGCCGAACGCAGATGTGTCTCTAGCGATAAAGCAAAAGCGGTACAGAGCTAATGAAGATCACAGACGCCGCGTTCGGAATAATAATAATAATTCACCGGGATAGATAAATTTATAGGTGAATCGTGTTCGCGGTAGGAAAAGTCAATTGCTCGAGTGTTGGTCGTTTTTGTAGGGTGAGCAGAATGGCAGAGGGCTTTATTTCGAATGGTTCTTCTGTTCCAGGAGATCGTAGAGATACTCTAGCTTCGTAAGAAATCAGGAGTAATGCGAGGGCAAGACGTGCCCAAAGGGAATCTACGTGATGTCATTTTGAAACGACACGACGATTGACGAAAGAGAATAACAAGGAAGAATCGAGCGATTCTTATTGTTTTCATTTAATTCAAAACGATTCAGAAACTCTTCGGTTATCTCATCGTTAACGGCAATATAAAAATATAACGGAGGTATAGAGAGAATTTTTGCGATGAAAATAATGAGTTAACCACGGAAACGAGAAGCTCGTTAGTTATCGGAACAGCTGTGCAAGCTTCCTCGTTATTCCGTGTTTACCGTACATATTTTATGGCTGCTTTAAGCATCCCTCCTTCCGATGCTGGAATGTTTCTCCAATGGAATACAGCTCTTCCCGCAATGTATAATAGTTGATAATTTCATGACGAGATTGTGAAACGTCGACGTTCCACGGTCGCGAACATTCGTAACGTATTTCGCGCTCTCTGTGAATGCAAGACTTCGCTTAAACGCATGTCACGTATTGATTGTAAAATGGAAATACATACAGAGTGGTTCGTGAGGATCTTCGAACTGTAATGTGAGTAAGGTATCGATTTGAAAATTAACCCCTTGCCCTACAATAACTTACAGTTCAAATGTGTTAAATATGAACTGAATTTTCAGTTTGATCCTAATTATAATTTGCTCAGTCTATATTTCATTTTTCTTTATTTGTTTGAAAATTGAGCCAATAAATAATTAGCTCTGTTGATACAACTAATCGAAAAAATCATAGGCAAAGGGGTTAATTAGTGCTTTTAACGTGTCTTACTGCACATGGCCACTTTCACTGTCAGTCAATGCGTTCGTGCTGGTCAGAGGCAGTAGATACAGACATGTCTACTATAACACGAATTATTAACGATTCTAAAGCTTCAATTAGCTGATTCAAATTACCAGAGTGCTTTTAGTATTATTAAAAATTCTCCTTCTTTTTTTATGTCTGACTGAATTCAATTTGTAACGTTGCTTAATAATTACTATCGCGTAACATTATTATTCACTTAACTTTACAAATGATTATCATTGATACACATTTTAGTTCCTATTATCTGGTTATCTATTATCTCAGAATGATAAAGATTCAGAAAACGATTAAAACGAAACGGAACGTGCTACGGCTATACGATCTTTATCGCATTAATGAATTAATTGGTTGCAGAAGAAGTTTGCTTTGATAATTACGCGTTTAATGAACACCGAGCTTTGCCACGGACTAAACCGATAGATTAGACTCGAATTACAAAAAATGCCGCATTACAAGGACTTTTTCATTCGAAGTTGTTGTGGCTCGTTAATGTTCTCATCCGTTCGACCTCCCAGGCCTAACGATCACCAGAAATTTCGTGTGCTGGTGCAAAATACTGCGAGCAAATGCATATCGGGTATAACCGCATAAGCAACGAAACGGTACTACGTTTTGAAAAGCTTCCAATAGCCATTGAAGTTTTTATCAGAACATACATTTGCAATTTTCATTTCAAAGTACTAAATTTGCACCGGTAAATTTATGAGTAACCTTTCATGTTCTTTCATGTTTCGACGATTTAACAAGGAATACCTCTGACGGTCACCGAGTGACCTCCGACAATTAAACAATTATCGTGTCTTCCCCTCGTTTATTATGCCACTCTCCCTTCATAGACACTGCGACAGGGCCCTCTATTATGTAAAAGCATGCGTATAGGTAGAGCGCAGATAATCATAACGGGGTAATTATCCACTTGACGACTGGTAATCCCGATGGTCAGACCGAACCATTCGACGTTCGTCGCGATCTTGACATTCCGACGATCCACCTTCGTTACAGCCTTCTTTAAATTAAAATTAACGCTATCAAAAATTTCTCTTCTTCACCATCTGTCACGGATAGCGCGTAATCACGCGACCGACATTGTCCAGGAAAATCAACGGCCACCGTTTAGCATTGAAATTATTCTAACGTTGGCGAGAAGCGAGGAAAATTTCGCAATGCGACGCGTTACGCAAATCATTTTCAAGAGTATTGTAACGCGTGAGATAGAGTCACGATTTGAAAACTGGGAAAACTATGATAGAAGTTATGCAGGTTTTGAGCGACACGTGCACAACACATTAATTGTTCTTAATGGTACCTAATTACCGTCATGTTTATGTTAATGTTAAATAGTATTTTCTGCTGCAACTATTTTTCTTTTATGTTATTTATGCGATTTCATTTGCATTCGAAAGGATACATTAGCGTTCGTTGCTACAAGTATAAATGAATTTATTGAATCGATTGAAAATCAATATTTTTGTTAGAAAAATATCAAGAAATATCCTATGAAATCAGACTGTTTTCAGCATTTTTGAATTATTAATTACTTGACTCTTCTTTTTTTTTTTATTTTAGCACTCGCCTGTTATCTCTACTCGTTGTTTGCTTTACACTCTGCTTTTAATTACTACAACCTTTTCACATGGTATTATATAAAAACGGCGGACGAATTTTTAAGTTTTCAATTTTAGTTTATTTCGACATGTTAACGCTTGTCGAGATTGAAAGCAACAACCGAACAGACGTTAAGGAGGCCAAGATAACAGCGATAAAAGATAAACGACGATTTGTAAGTCAGTGGCACGTTCATCATCTGTGCAAAAAGAAAGAAATAAGCAGAGATCATATGGAACACCATGTTCCTATGTTAGTGAAAACAGAGAAAATGGTCGAACACTACGAACAAACGCTATTGATAACTATTGCATATGAAATCACTTCAGATAATAAGTTCATTTTTTAATTTATATTGCATTACGTCGCAAGGTTAAAGTACAACATCGTTTAATCTTCTACTTTTATCAACAGTTTGCACGTGATGTTACCGAAAAGAATGTCTTATTTCATGATTGTTCCTGAATTCCTGCTTCAACAACAAACATCGTGTAATAAGATGATCACACGTCCGGGTCATTTTCGTGGCACGTCAGCGATAAATCAATAAAAAACACATGAAACGTCATCGAATTATTGGTTAGCGAAAAAGTCTATTGGTGGTTCGTGTCGAAGATAAAACTTCTGCCATTTTGGATTCGTTCTAATATCATTACAAGGTAAATGCTGATTAAAAAAATTTTCATTGCTTTTTCTTCTATACCTCGTGTAGCATATTAGATAATAAAAATGAATTATTAAAAAGTTTCAAGTACACCCGTAATCTCTGGATAAATGAAAGCTGTCTGAACGAGTTGACTCCTTATGTTGACTCTCGCAGAAAATCTTTATCGCGTTCATTTTATTCACACTTTCTGAATTAATTTTCTTCATTTTCGAGGTCGTGTATGCACGTCTAATGCAGTGGAAAGATTAATCGAATACCACCCACGATTTTCTTTTCCCGATGCTGCCAAGAGGATTTAAAATCCAGAGGGTAATAATGAAGAAAATCCGAGGGGACAGAATGATAATTTATCTTAAATGGAGAAATTTCATTTCAAAGCGCAAAAAGAGAGAAATAAATTCCAGAATCGAGGTTTTATCGAAATCTTCAGAGGCATACTTGCTATTTCGATTCATCCTCGATCGAAATCGAGGGTTGTTCCTGTGCTTTGATCGATGGATCAAACAACGATGGTCTTCATGGTCGCGAAGACGATTGAACGAGCAAATTGTACGGTAGGCGTGAATACACACGTTGAACACTCTTTGGCAAACGAACAGGGCTGATCCCACTATCGCGTCACTGTCCCACTCGTCACTCGATAACACGCACGCACGTTTTACGCACGTCTAAGCACCGCGATGATCGCCGATCGACTGTTTACCAGCTGACTGACAGTGGTCTTTGCCTTTCGAAGGTCGTCCATCCTGGAATCGGCTGACAGTCGGGCACGGCAAGCCGTCCAGTCATCGCGCGATCCGCTCGCTGGACTCTCCTATCGTCCACGGTTGCTCGTGATTCTCTCGGTAAATACACGCAACCTACACGTTCACGGTGATAACGAAACTCCACCCAGATAATATTAGGATGCCCTGTGCTGTCCGGACGACGCGACACACGCCTGATAACGCTTCAAACGAACTTTCATTTCACCTTCTGTCCGCTTGATTTTTCCTCCTCTCCTCGTTTCGGCCACCGGGCTGACGATAAAACTTGTAGCTTTTTCTTCTTTTTCATTATTCTAGTTTACGTATCATTGAAACGCCTCCAAAAGAAGATACGAATTCTGTGGGAGGAAATATTGAATCGAATGAAGATTCAATTATTTCTTCCTTTTTTTTAAATTATTCCACTTTATAAATCTTTGAAGCGTTTCAAATGTTTGTTCGTTTGTGTGTTTCTTGAATTGTATTTGCTTAGATACGTCGGAATGACGTACTGTGTCAACACCGGTTTGTGTCTGATAGTGAAAATGACGTGTACTCTGTGCCGCATAAAATCATTATCGTTGCTTTTCATTTACATATATCAAGAAATATTACTGAATCACTTCTGGTGATACTTTTAGATTTCTTTTTGTTAATTTAGTAATTGCAGGGAGATGGTTTAATGACTTCCAAAAATACAAATCACACTCTTTCTTTAAACTGATTAATGTAACAAAGGCGACTACAATTGATCATCAACGGTTCGATGTCGAAGAATGTTTAGATTATCAGCGTTCGGGAGAGATTTCTACGTCTTATCGCCTACAATTAATAAACGTTTGAAGCAATTTTGGTGTTTCATTTTATTTCAGTGTCCAAAAATTGTACTAAAGGTCTAAATCTTCTTGCAATATCCTTCTATCATCCCTTTATTCGGCACAGCCGATCGGCGGATCAGAGCGGGAAGAAAATCGAGGCCGGTAAGCATCGCCACGCGTGTTAAGCAAATAGGCGTAATCAATTCTCGCGTAATCCGCAAACGTTTGCCCAGAGAAATTGATATCTTGGCTGCTTGTTTGCCTGCTCTTTGCAACCGGTTGCTAACTTTCCTTCAAACAGTTCGTTTCCGAGGGCTAGCGTTTCTCATTCACGACGAACACCTCTCGCGTGTCGCGTAGTCGGCGAATCAGCCCGAGTCGACCGCGTGTGTCGTAACTATGTCGTTTTTATACCTGCAAAAATTTATCTGAGAGGCCTCGATCAAGAAATACCGTGTAACCGACGGAAACCACTCGAAACCAGAGGCAACCGGTAAACAGCGAATCAGCACGCGCGCGAAATCAGGTGTTTATTTGCATCGTTTCTTCTCACGGTTGATAATTGCCAGGGAAAAGTGGGAAATTGCGATTCAATCACGAGCTACCTTACCTGTTCGCTCGTTTGCGACTGCTCGATGATCATCGGTAAAAATAACGCGAATCGCGAGACGAATTTTAATCGACGATGAATCGCTGCTCCTTCTGTTTCAAAGAGTACTTTAATGCAAGCATGGATAAAAGAGCAATCACTTGGGAAATCCATTACATTGTAAGGGTGGGATGCTCGAGCAGGCGATCAACCATTTTTCTGTCATCCTCCAAGTAGACAATGTTTCCTTGTCTCTCTTTTTCATCGTTGCTATTCAAACGACGACCCAACACGGATAAACAGACAACAAAGATCGGTTACTCACCTTCTGATTTACAGGAAGTCTCGAACCTCCTTCGATCGCGAAGTTTCTTCCCCGACAAACGATCACGTTCTATCAGGCAGCCTGCATCACCGCGCGAATGCCCGCACGCGATCGAAATAACCGCGAGATCTCGCTATCGGAAACACCGATTTCCCTTTACTACCACCTCATTTCATATTCTCCACGGACACTGCTTTCTACGCTACAAACAGAAACGAAAAAGGACGAATTGAATTTGTGAGAGAATTCAGGGGGACAAGTGAATACCGGAGGAGGTGAGAGATTAAGAAGAATTTGAAGAATTTTCGTAAATATATGCCCCTCCCTTGTCTTTTCTATATCTCCATCTTGCCGCTATTAATCGGAATACCAAACGATCGACCGCTTCGCCCTCCGCAACAACAATGCCGATACCCTCCCTTATCAGCACAGAAAATAAAGCGAGTTCTTTTATCGCTCTATCTCAATACGTCGTTATCTTAATATTGGCAAGATTTTTCGTGAGAAAATGACTCGATCTAACGAAATGTCCATCGTAACCGATATCAGATAAGGGAAACATTAAAGTCCGGCCAAATTCTTCTTATCTTTTAGATTGTTTTCATGACCAACCACGCAAACAACATTCCACCCTTTCGTGTGAATTATACACGGGTTCAAACTCGAAGTGCCAAATTTGTACCATCGAGAAAAGGAAACGAAAGGAAAAGTAGAAGTTTTGATTTCACGAAAGTGGTCCTGACAGGTGTCAGACGGTGGAAAATATAGTCAAAGGGTCAAACACCGAGAAAGTTGAACGCGCGAGACCTCGAACTTTCCCTCGGGATCGTGGCCGAGTGTCATCTTTTCTCGCGGCCAGGTGGATAAGGTTGATCGGTTTAATCCTCGAACGAACGGTTGTTGATATTGGAGGGAAACGTCGAAGATCGGCTCGAGTTCGCGGAACGTTGTCGTTCGAAGGCTCGCTGTTGAACTGGAAAGAGTGGAGAAAGCTCGAGCGTGCGACGCGTATCCGCGGCGCGAGCATACTGCTACTCGCGGATGGTGGCGGTGGCAGCTTCACCCTCTTTGGTATTGATCCACGTGGCCGCCTCCTCGACTCTCGCAACCAGACCAACCCCGCCTCCGCCGACCGATGGCTACCGATCCATCTACAACAAACTGTTCACCGCTTCTCACATCTTTCCCTTTTTTTCCCTTTTATCTCGATTCACTGTAGGCCAGTTTTTTTCCAACAGATAATCGATCTGAACCTTTCGTTCTACTCAGAAACTGGTGATTTTATGATAATTATAAGTTCCAAGTTCATAGGACGAGAAGTAAGAATCGAATCTCCTAATTACCGATCTCATCTATTACAAATTGTAATATATTATGATAAAGGTAGTCGCTGAATTGCTTTTCGAAACATAGAAACTTAATATACTTCGTCAATTACCATTTGGATATCCAGAAGAAGGGTAAGCACAGGATTACAAAGTTTTCTCGTTGATGTAATGCTTTTTTCTTTATTTGCTCCATGAGGATTCTATGGGCGTGTAACGAAACGGGGCGAAGAAAGATTCGGCCTAGCAGTTTCGTGATATTCGTGCCGGTTCAAGAAGGGGGTTGTAAAACTACGATCATTCTCCGGAGGAAGGGTCGGAAGCTGAAGGCGGAGAGATTGTTCTGCTTGGATATAGGTCGTTGCCCTACCTCGCCGCGTGGAAAATGCTTCCATCGCAGAATTCTCCACACGTTTTATTGTCCAAGGGATGAATAAAAGAACAGTAAAATCGTAGTATTAATGTACAGTCCCTTCGATATACATCAGATATGCGAAAGCACAATATTTGTTAATCATTTCACTTTTATTATACACACTTACAATTATTAAAATTATAATTTTGAAAATAATGCAAAAGAAGAATGCTATTTCAAATGATCTATACACAATCGGTAAAATCAATGGGACTATCTTGTGATGGTATACCATTACCTTCAATCGGTAATGTAGTGGGGATCCTGCTTTATCGAATGTGCTCGGGATAATCTACAGTCGGTACAAACATAACGTTATTTTAACAACTGTCGGTAAAGTAAATTCGTTTCTACAACTTGTACTCTTTCAGAACTCCTCATAGATGTCTAGTCCTATCCGTTTGCGCTTTTATTTTTTGCGCATGGGCCTAAGGAGGGCCGAAGCGAATGAAATAGGAGGGCCGAAATATGAATGAAACTCGAAGAGGGTTCGAAGGAACATTCTTCCTAGTCTTTCTGGAATTTTAAAGAAAATCTTTGCTCTCGAAAGATGAGATAGGTAAAAACGAGGTGGCAGGGTCGAAAGAATAACACGGAAGCAAATCTGGGGGTGGGCAAGACGTGACAAGAGGATCAGATAAGGAATCGTGCCTTCTTCTTTCGACGTTTCCTTTGTTTAGGAATTAAGATAAAGAAGCGAGAAAGAGGTGTAAGGACCGCGGAAGCCTGTCTGTTTGAACTCGAACAGGAACAAACCAGACGCGCCTCCTTTTCTTTCGTTCAAGTCAAATATTATCGGATACGTACGCGTACCTGTTCGTATACTTTACTTTCAGGGCACCTGCGTGGAGCAGGCTCGTTACAAATGTAGCTTTTTTGTTTTTCCTACGCTTTTATTTGACATACCACGCGATTTCAAAACGTCCCGCGATTCCGTCTACCGATAACGGACAAGAAACATTAAATTATAGATCTCGGTAAATCTTTTAGGTAATAATTTAGAATTTAGATTCTAAATAATAATCTTGGGAAATACCGAAATACATTATATTTTGGTGGATAAAAATAAGGTAAAGTATAATGACATAGAAGGCGCCAACAGCAATAAAAAGAAGGACATGGTTAAATCCCTGTAATCTCGAGACAATGATTTTTGAAGGGGTTTTGAATTTGTGCCTTGAGGACGAACGCCATCTGCTCTATCATTGTATAAAAATGCGAAATACTTGGCACTGCAACAGTCTAACGCACGTTGATGGTAATAGCAGATTACTTCAATATCAAAGCCTATATCCCGTCATTCAGTCTTGGGCTGATCCTTGCCATAGTACAGCAATAAGAGGAGTACCAAGGGGAGGTTAATCCAACCCTTTTCAACACTAATTATGACGGCTTCACCACCAAACCCGGTGGTGCCGTCAGGGCCGATGGCGTCGGGAGTGAGGGCTCCAGACGCCTTTGCACACAGCCCGAGGAGAGGCCAGCACCGGGTGCGACCCCCGGTGCCGGCTACGTGGTAGGCACCCTAGATGGGCACCTGTATGCCAGGCGTGCAGGGCTCCGGAGTAATACACATAAAGTACCGGAGCCCCTGTTTAGCGCCAGTGTTGGTCGCCGTGGGGTTTTAGTCAGTAGGAATCTGACACTCCCCCGCTGCCCGCCCCTAATGGACAGTGGGGGGTCTTATGCAAGATTTCCCCACGTAAAAAAAAAAAAAAAAAAAAATATTTACAGCCATTGATTTGTGTAAAGGTATTTGGCTGCGGCGCGGTTATCAGACGTTCGACCTAGAGCGAAGTGAAACAGTATCAGTCTTATAGCGACCGCCGAGGGGTGCAGATCTACCTAGTAAGCGTACATATATCTATATTATATTTTCTACGTTCATTTAATTTGGTGTATTTATCTTCTTAGATTAATGAATAAACTCATTAGGAGGACGAACGTGTTGATTTTATTACTCCCATGTGCATCCTTTACATCCCTGCATTCCTTACATCCCTGCATCTCTTACATCTCTACATGCCTTACATCCCTATATTCCTTACATCACTGCATCCTTTAAATGCCTGTTTACTTTATATCCTTGCATCCTTTGCACCTCTGTCATCCTTTCATCCCTGCGTCCCTCACATCATTGTATGCCTTACATCCCTCTATCCTTTACACCTTTTTATCCCTTATACCCTTCAATCCTTTACATCTCCATATCCGTTAAATGTCTGTTCCTCTTACAACCCTGCTTCACTTATAGCCATGCACCCCCAAAACACTCTATTTCTTACAATCTGCGGTGCCTTACATCCCTTTATCAATTTTATCCTTGAAATGACGTTTTCGGCGTTCGTAACAGCGCCCCCTAGTGGCGAGAAAAGGAACTAAAGTACGAATAAATTTAGCGCCCTCTGGCGGACAAAATTTGAACTAAAATTTTCCCGAAAAATCAGCGCCATCTGGCGGCGAGAAAAGGAACTAAAGCACGAATAAATTTAGCGCCCCCTGACGGGCAAAATCTGTACTAAAATTTTCCCGAAAAAGCAGCGCCATCTAGCGGCGAGAAAAGGAACTAAAGCACAACTAAATTTAGCACCCCCTGGCGGGCAAAATTCGAACTGAAATTTTCTCGAAAAAGCAGCGCCATCTAGCGTCGAGAAAAGGAACTAAAGCACGGATAAATTTAGCGCCCCCTTGCGAGAAAAATTTGAACTAAAATTCCCCCGAGAAATCAGCGCCATCTGGCGGCGAGAAAAGGAACTAAAGCACGAATAAATTTAGCGCCCTCTAGCGGGCAAAATTCGAACTAAAATGTCCCCGAAAAGCAGCGCCATCTAGCGGCGAGAAAAGGAACTAAATCTCGCACGATTGTTCTCTCTGTGGTGTAGGAATACAAGAGATAGGGAGGTAAGAGATGTAGGCGATGCAGCGATGTAAGGGATGCGGGGAAGTAAGGAATGCAAAGATATAAGAGATACAGGCATGTAAGGGATGCAGGGATGTAAGAAATGCAAAGATGTAAGGGATGCAGGGATGTAAGGAATGCAGGAATGTAAGAAGTGCTGGGATGTAAGGGATGCAGGGATACAAAGGATACGAAGAGACAGTGATTTGGGGGTAGTCCCTGCGAGGTCCATGAAAAGAATGAAGAAAATAAGTAACTATAAAAGTAGACCTTTGTCCATAAAGAGTAGGAATAGGATAAACAATAACTGGGAAGGATGGTCTCCGTGAGACCCATAAAGAGAAATAAAATAATAAATAATTACGAAGCGTAGGTTTGACCCATAAAGGAGGATAAAATAATTAATAACTGCAAAGGGTGGGGTTTAGCTCATAAGAAGGGATAAAATAATAAATAACTGGAGAAGGTGAGGAAGGAAGGATCAAATAATAAATAAAAGGGGTGATAAAAATCATAAATTTCATTCCTCCTTGATGAGATTATTTAATAAGCAAAAAAAAAATAAAGTAAATTAAATAAATTCCGAAAGAAAATTAGAAGTATATGTTGATCCACACCCCTCGGCGGTCGCTATAAGACTGAAGAGGTCGCACCTCGTTCTGGATCAAGCTTCTCATATTGGGAAGTAATTATTGTGCTTTGGTTTTCATGTATATTATGTTTTTAATTTATTACAGATCAAACAGTTATTGAAAAGGATTTAAGACAATTAAATAACTGAGAAAAGAAATTTCGGGCATTAGATAAATAACTCAGAAATGAAATTGGTTAAATTAAATAATAACTCGGTTGTTTTTTTACAATGATTTATTTGCGTGAAGTGAATACAAATTTGTCAAACAATTATTATAATAATTGTTCAGTCTTGTGCTGCTTTTGACTGATTTCTAAAAAAAAAAGAGTCAAAGGGAGTGAAAATTGTGTCTTTTCCGATGTCAGTCTGAGGTGCAGCAAAAGACGGACAAGTAAAATAGGCACGATTAACATACCGGCTGTGCTTTCTGCATGCAGACCTAATCTCATCTGGGGGTGTCTGGGACCCCTTAAATCATGACCCCTCGAAGACAAAGTCCAGTCTTTTGCATCTGTAGTCACTGCTACACTTTCCTATCGCATGAATTCGGATAAAATAATAAATAACTGAGAAGGGTCGGCCTTGGCCCAAAAAGGGGATAAAATAATAAATAACTGGAAAGGATAGTCCTTGGCCCACAAAGAGGGATAAAATAATAAGATTTATTTCCCTTGTGAGCTTATTCAATAAGCTAAGAAAATAAATAAAGTTAATTAAATAAACTCAGAAAATAAATTAAAGGTACCTACATATATGTTTGACAAGTAGATCCGCACCCCTCGACGGTCGCGATTAGAATGGCGCTATCACCTCGCTCTAGGTCCTAGGTCGAACGGTTGACAGCCGTACCCGATCAGCCGTGACGTTCCGCTTCGCCGCTGCTGCAACTCGTTACCCTTACTCGAATTTTATACCTTTCTATTAAAATTTAATTACCATTTTTTATTTTGCAACCATTTATTAACTAAATCATTGTCGTATTTATTTAAATTTATTATTTTTGTAACTTCTTTGCGTAAATGTCCTGCAAATTTGTATTGATTATTTATTTTTTATACGATATTGAGAAGTAATTACACTTTTAATTTAAGTTTGATTTTCATATATGTATATTATATTCATAATTTATTGAAGAACCATCAATTTTTGAATGTTATATAAATAACTCGTTGTTGTTTATCTAAAACGATTTATTTATCAAGATACATGAAGTGAATACAAGTTTGTCAAACAATTGTTTTAATAATTCTTCGGTCTTGTCCTGATTTTGACCGATTTCCAGAAAAATAGAATGAAAGAGAGTGAAAATTGTGTCTTCAAGTGCGAATGTGAAATGTAGTAAAAGAGGAACTGGTAAAACAGACAAGACTGTCGTACCAGTTGTGCTCGGTACATGCAAATGAATTTTACCTAGGGGTGTTTAGGATCCCTCAAAATCATCCAATCTTTTTGTATCTGTGCTCACTGCTGAAGGGTAATGCGTATAATTTCGTGAGGAGACGTTCGGAAGGAAACAAAAGACTGTGGTCAGTGTTTTCAGACGAAGAGGATCAGTCGTCCGGTTGTTTCGGTGGAAAACTGATTTCACTCGGTCAAAGGCTTTTATATTTACCGTGCACTCACGAGCGTCGGGTCCTGAGGAAGGAGCGGGGCGACACGGAGAACACAGACGTGCGGTTTTTCCGGGCCACGTTGCTGGCAAATATTTACCGGAATGTGGAGGAGGTCCTCTTTAAATTCCACCAGCAATCGGCGCCTCGGTACACCGAAAATAACTTTAACGATCTTTCGGCTCGGCCACGAAAATCCATAAACCTGGTAATGACTAGGGAACGTGATGCAAGGTCGGCTTCCAACTGAACCGTTCAAGCTGATAGAACGATCATGAAACTTATAACATTTTTAGAATTGAAAACTAGAAACTTCTAAAATCGTATTTTTATTTTTTCGCAGGAAACAGAAGAATGGATACCGTCAAGGATAAACATTTAGCGTAGAGAAACAGAGATGGAAGGATTTGGTGAGAAAAGAGGGACAGAAAGGGAGAAGAAGAGAGAGGTAGAGCAGAGAAGCAACTGGAAAGCCCGGATTTCGTTCCCAGGAGGAGCGCTCGACCGCACTACGCAGGATTAAGCAATCACACAGGCCGATGGTTCCTCGATAGCGATGCTAATGTCGGGTCGAAAGGGCCAAGCACGCGTTTATGGCCCTTCCGTTTGCTTAGGCAAATCGAAGACATTCGCGGCAGAAGGGAGGCCCTCTGTGTATCTTCTTTCACGTAGGGCCGTGGCTGCAATAAAAGGTATGACGATCGCATCTAATCTTTTTAACGGTGAAAGTTATTCCTCCGGAATACGTAACGTGTACATAAATCAAAGGAACACCTTCCGTTTTGCAGCTAATGCGGTGTTTCCGAACCCCTTGGTTTATGAACTATTCGATAACAATATTTCTCTGGTACTCGAGAGGAAGAACAGCGCCTAGGAGGATCGAGTCGTTGAATGATCGATGACGACGATCGTTTCGTCTATTATACGCGGTAAGCAAACGGGCGATAATCGACGCGTATCGAACCACTCGAATCGATCTCACGCTCTCACGGGTCGTTGAGTCCGAATCGTGTTGCCGTTGGTCGTTTATGAAACTCCTGTGTCACAACATTTCTCCTCTTCAATTTGTCCGATCGATCTGGAATCGATCGGTCACGATCAGCTTCTCAAAGGATACTTAATCTAATTGTTAAACGATCGCGTTCGCGATTTTCTTATGGCGAGAAGAGGATGATGAAAAAGGAGGATCGCGAGGAATTCGTGAGAAAGGAAAGGACCTTGTAAGAATGCCACGTGATGCGGGAAGAAGCGAGAAGAAAGAAGGGTCAGAAGGGGGTTGGGTTGGTTGGTAGCGATTAACTCTTACTTAAAGGGCGCCTCCGCCCTTGCGAGAGCCCGTCACTTCGGCAAGATGTCGTGCAACAATGGAGCACTTAAACGCCGCGAATGCTTAAGTCATCTTAACGGCCAATCGACAGCCACTGGCTGCTCTCCAATTATCTCTCCGGGGCAAAACAATTAAACGCGACTCGTCGTTACCCGTCCTCCGAGCCTCCGATCCCCTGGCTAATGCCCACTAAAGACCAAATCACCTGTAACCGGTCAAGACCACGAAACTCGTGGCTTTCGTCTCTGCCAGGGACAAAAGGATGTGCATCTTCATCCAATTAGGCGATAATGGAACATCGGACGCGCGTTTTGCCACGGGCCTTGCCTCTCCATGATTTTTCGATCCTTCTCGATGATACCTCTCCCTCTCGTCATCCTTTCTCTCCTCCCGTTCATCAATTTCATTATATTTTTTTCATTCAGACCATTCGATCCTGTTGCATGATATTTCAACCGTTCCAAGAGTTATAAAACGAAGCAGCGCGTTTCGAGAAGAAGAATTTCCACGTCCCGAAGGGAACGCACGAAGTAGTAAGAGCAAACAGAAATTTATAGTAGCCCGTACAGCGAAACGATGGTAGAACATGGTCACAAGCAAAGGAGAAAAAGAAAAGGAAAGAGAGAAAGAACGAGGGGGCGAGCGGGTCAGAGGCAAAGACGGATCGCGACAGTCCCGATAACTGTTTGCCCGCGTGAAGAGCGTTCGAGCGCGTTACAACTCAAACCTTTTAGCCGTTGTTTGCACGGCGCTTTGTATTCTATTTGTACAACCGCTTAAACAACTCCGTTCTGAACGTATAAGTCCGTCGTCGAGCCTCCTCGAGGGAGTTGTGCGAACCCTCGAGTCGATCGAGGGTGCCACTTTCCGGGCCAACCTGTTGACGCGTCGCGTCGATCCAAAAGATTTCTTCCTACTCTATCTTCTTCTCGTACCCCAGGATCGTTGACTAAATCGCTCGGTATATTAATCTTGTCGCGCGAGATACGAGAGCCGAGAGGAGGGACAGGATTAGTCGTCGCCGCAGACAGGGCGGAAAAACGTCCGAGACGTTCGGTCGAGAGTGGGCCGCGATCGTCTTCTTTGTTTTCACGGGATACCTTTGGCTTCCAGGCTACGGATTTCTTCGGTACCCGTCTCGATTTCACAATCTCGGGGACGTCGAGTCGCGTTTAACGAAAGAAGGATGCGATCGGCTACCATCTCGTTGATCGGCCACGAAAAGGTATGACACGTTGCTTTCGCTCGGGATAAATGAGACGAGGCTGTAGATTTACAGTCATAAAATGTGTAAAATTGTGAGACACCGTGGGTACGCTGTTGTGAAACGGACTGTACCTGCACGGAAGGAGAATAGGTCCGTACGGTGTTCTTAGAGAGACAGGTAGGTGGATAGCAGAGCGGTACGATCACTAAATTAAGCTGGATTAGGCTAATCTGGCCCCGCGGATCGTTAATTAACGAGGCTATTAGTCAGCGACGGTGACTATTAATTCGAACGATAGTCGTGTCTCGACGATACGTTATGGCAATATCGTGTATTTGTCACTATCGTCCGGCTCACAAATTGGTTACAGCGCACCTGGAATGTCGTATCCCTTCTTCACCTTTCCGTCTCTTCTTCTACTCTCTTTCTCCATCTCCCCACCTCCATTTTGAGGATCATCTTTCTTTCACTTTGTTTTCGTTCGTCTTTCTCTCGCCCCTATCGTTCGGTATACTTTTGTCTCGCCGTTGCGTCTTCGATGGGACCTCGAGTCCAACTGGTCAGAGAGATATTTCGCGAAACGGTCTGCCACCGGGTCGTTCGCACGAGGATGGGACCAAGATTCGATCGTTATCGTCCCCCTCATCAACGTCGTTTCGCTATTAATTTATCGGCGTGTCGCGGTTGAATCGAACGATACCACGGTCGGACCACACTCGGGATACCTCGGGCTGGGCTCACTCGATAAATTACATCCACGGACGATCGATTAATTTACCAAAATTGGATACTTTATAGTCGAGTACAGTCGGTGAAAGAAAGTAGATGAGAAATCGAAGATTGAGAATATTAACTCGTTAACGAACAAACAGGTATCTGTAACAAGGATCTCCATTATTTACTCCAACTACTGTATATCTCCCTCGGTAAGTTCGAGTGCGCCAATGAATGGACCCGTTAAAACTGTCACCGAGACGACACGAACGGGACAACTAGTTCATGGTTGCCCATTGATGGTCCAGGTAGGTGCCGGCAGGGTTCCGCACACCCGTCCCCGGTGTCATCGGTTAAACTCGAGTTTAAGAAGGCTGAGTCTCCCCTTTGACCGGCTCTTAACTAGCGTGCATCCGGGCTGACTGTCGTGCAAAGGGAAAGGACTCGCCCCCTCCACCTCCTCCATCTCACCTGGGTATGACAAATTCAAGAAATATTTGTAGGCACGCCACGAAGGTGGAGCACAACGCGTACGCGTATCCACTCCGAAAAGGAACGTCTCAATGGAAAATCACCGAGGATAACTAATTCGGAATTCGTCCCTGGACCGGTGCCGGTGTCGTCGCGGACACCGTGAACGGGAACGACTTTCAACAAAAACAGCTTCCAGATCTCTCTGACGTTTCTATTTCTCTTTCTTCATTTTTTTTTTTTTTTTCACCGTTTCATGACTCGCCAAACACGGATCCACGAGTTGAATTTTCTTTTCGCGGTCCAAGGGAGCCAGGATTATTAACGATTTGGCACGGGTTTCAAGGGCTCGCTAGAGAACCGCCCGTCGAGCACAAGTTTTGCGCGTTTCTTCGCGCCGAAATTACAACAGGACGCCTAATTATCCTGGCGAGTTCTTGGGAGGAGCAGGGATCGCTCGCGAGTATTTTACCTACCGCAAAGGCGGTCGTTGATTCGTCGCGGACTCGCGAGGAACGGTGTACACCGTGGCATGGCACTCGCCAACTGGTCCCCTCGTCGTTGTAATAACTTTATTCTTGAAATTGCCATGGCACCCTCGTGGACGGGAGACGTAGCGTGGATCTCACTCCT